TGTTGTTTATCTTGCTTTTATTATTATTATTTTTGCATTAATACTCGTAGAGCTATGATTGTTTCTGTTGATGTCGTCGTTGTGTTGTTGTTGTTATGTTGTTGTGTTGTTGTGTTGTTGTCGTTGTTGTTCCTTTGTATCTCGTGTCAGTCACATAAGTGACAGCGCGTGAGAATTTATACACTACAGGACACGCAACGATTTAGTCTGCACAAATGACAATGGAATTGCTGATGAAAAAGGGCGGCACACGGACAAGGAAAGGACAATTTTTTTATAACCAGCAAGCAACATTTGTGCGTGACTGTAATATTTATAGCTACTCATACCATAATCATATATATACCATATATATATACGTATTGTACGTATATAATAAAAGTTGAAATTGAAAAGTTAAAATCTTACAGGCGGTCGTAAAGACCACAAAACATGTACAACATGTCAAGCTCATAAGAAGGGGTACACACTAAATAATAGTACACATTAAAAGCTTAGCGTATCTATTTCGCACTCAAAATGCCATTAACACGAAATATTTCAAAAATTTTGAATAATTTTTAATTTCCTCTCCACTCCGTTCTGAGTGGGGTCTATTGAAATTATATGAGAGAGCAGAAATCATATACAATAATAAATGATAAATCGAAAACAATGTTTGAATATCATTATTTCTTATGACAAATTGTTTGTCTGTCCGACCAACACACGTTTGGGAATTTCACCCTTAATTGAGTTCCATTTTAATTACACAGAGTCACTACTTCACTTACTACAATGTCGCAAAAAAAAAAAAAAATTGGTTACACGTAAAGTTTAGTTCTTTATTTCAGCGAACTTAATACTTTTTATTACAATCGTCTGAGCTGGCAATACCGTTTAAAATCATGTTGATCCCGAAGTGCAAGAGCGAGAATCCTTGGTACCGGCAACGTGACGGTTCAATGTTTAACATTTGACATACGTGCGCGCGTCTCCAAATGTCAATGTTTGCGACGCGTGTGCAATTTGTCTACATTTTTACGGTTCGCATTCACTTGCTTTTATTTCCTGTTTTTATTTTACTGCTGTTATATTTCCTCTGCTGCTTTACTGTAGCAACTTTTCTCGCAAAAATAATAATAAAAATTATATTGAATGTCTGACTTACGAGTCGTGCACGGTGCACGGGGTTTCCTTATTTAAGTAATGGTGTTTGGCTTGTAATGCCAACGGAGTACACGTGACTTTATTTAAATAAGGAAATCATGCGTGCCGGTGTTATTAGGCCTGTCATGCCTAAGAAAATTAACCAATTTGTCTCTATTTCTGGTCTGACAGCAGCTTTTATAAACATATATGAATTAAGTAGGAAACGCACTAAATATGTAGGAGGTAATATAAATTTTTTTATTATATATACTAAAGTTGTGGTTAAGAAGAGATTTAATTTGTTTGAGGTTAGCAAGTCCGTTGCTTATATATTTGAATCGAAACGTATATGGAGAAAAAAATTCTATTGCATTAATGATAATAATTTAAAAAGTTAAATAGAATATTACAAAGGCTATGATTATATAAACTAAAATTAAATTAATTTGTGATAAAAAAAAAAATTTTTTTTATTTAACAATATGTCTGTATTGAAACGCTTTTATTTAAAGCCTAACAAAAAGTTTTAGAATTTATCCTTTAAATAGAATGATTTGTTTCACTGAAAATAGTTTGAAATGATACAAGAAAAATTTTTCAAAATTTTTAAAGTGTAGTAGAGTATAGTTGCGATATCGTCTATATTACAAAACATCCTGTATTGCAATAAATTTTGAATATATTTTGATTTTAGTATAAAGATTTTAAAAACTATATTATATAAACAATTTTAATAGTCACTTCCATCCGAAAAATTAGTACGTTAAATTACAACTTATATTCACAAAATATTGATCTCGCCCGTGCGAATAGTGGGGTAACATTAGCATGACTTTCTCAGTATTTCGCTCCTAGATTAAGTTTTACACATAAGAAAGAATATATACAACAAATAATGCCTCTATAATCAGAATAGTGTTGAATTTTAACAATTAAAAATAAAAATATGATTAATTATTCTACAGCTGGTTGTTAATAAAATTTTCACAGTAAATATACAGAACTTCAGAAAAAAGTACGAACATACAAGTGAAATACCACTTTGGATCAGTTGGCTATTGAACGCTGACTATGAGCTTCAATTTTGGCAGGGCATGAGTTCAATCCCCGCTTCTTGTAGACTTAAAAAAATTATTTACAAATAATTAAATACAAGAAATAATTCTAAGACCACTGAGTATTGGTATTTAGCAATACTCGAAACTGCTGTATAGTCAGCCAAAAATTTAATTAATTAAAATAATAAAAAATAAATTGTTGTTGTTGTGATTTCACTATTGTTCGAAAAATCACTTTATAATCTAAAATTAATTTGCGATCAATTTTTTTTTTTTGTATTTAATATGTCTTTATTGTATCCCTTTTATTTAAGGCCTAATTAGAATTATTGTAATGTAATTAGTTATTATTTTATAACAATTATGTTTTTTTACAGGCTAATTGGTTAATAATTAATTAATAAACTTTTTAAAGAATTTTTGTTTGTTTTTAAAAGATTTTATTTTAACCGATATTTCGGCTATAATCTATAGTCATCATCAGGGTACTATATTTTTCAATACATATCACAAAGAAACAACTATAAAATACATTAATAACGAAACATGAATTATATATTTATATATAGAAAACAATTAAACAATACTATGACAATAAATATAAAAATACCATTATAAAATCCAATATACCAATACCAATATAAAATACACGATGTATTTATTCTCTTCTAGAGTTCACTAGGAACTCCGCGTATTCTCTTTTTTACTAGAAGTTTGGAGGATGTATACCATTTCCAAGAAAAACCATTTTGTTGATTATTTTCTTGGTGCAACACCTTTACATTACCAAGGTTCGGCTTATGCTTTGAGCCGGATCTTTATTATTTTATATAAACATACTACTATCAATTATAAAATGAATTGTAAATTATTTTAAGTGGCTGTTAAGTAATACTTTATTACTTTATACATTATTATTTTCTATTTTGACACACTGAGTGATCATACAAGCCTCATATTATATTTTACATATTATATACTATATGTTATATCTATTGCTATATGCTATATCTATTGTAATGCATAATATATAATAATTTCAACACTTATTTAAATAAACATTTATTATTCTATTTTCATAAAATGTCTCATATATTTTACAATAATATTTTCATTCTTTTAATATAAATGTGTTATACTTAGCACATTTATAAAAGCAAGCCTAAACTTAATCTTAAGTCTATATAAAAAAAAAATTTATAACATGTTTGGCCTTATGACCTTCCTTCGTTTCTTCCTTTGCCTATTTTTGCAATATGCCCAGGCATATAACTTAGATTATGTCTATTGTATCAACTCACTTTCTGCTTGATTAATGAATATTTAAGACATTCGCTTGAAAAATTATACCAAACGTGCCTTCTTAAAGTTCATATACGCTAATAGCACAATTTACTAAAGCATGAAAAAATTATAAGAACCCAATGGTAGCAGATATTTAATGAGGGTGACAGGGTGGTAGCGATAATGGCGTTGGACGCATGCAACAGTGTACCAAAAACAAAAAGACAAACGACCTTATCCCTTCATACGAGTGATTTACTCACTTGCCTGCTCACAGAACGGTTGATATTCATTAACGTGGAATATGGTAGCAAAAGGATAATTTAAAAGAGATGTCTGAGGGTCGTTTGTGCCAACAACCAGGAAAAGCCTGAATTCCAAAGTAACTTGCAGCTTGGTTTTTGTTATTCTTCTCATTACAGTAACAGCGACTTTTGACGTCGTCGCTGCCGTACCACTGCAAAATGTTGTCAATTGAAAACGTGCCAACAATTTGCAACGACGATTAATCGTCTTTTACAACAGGACCGTGTTGCATGCATATCGTAAAGTACTTGTAGAGCGCATTTACCGCTTTTACATTGTCCTTCTGCTCTACTCTACTCTGCTCTGCTCTGTTCTGCCCTGTTCTGTAATGCCGGAGGTGTAATACTTTCTTATGCATGGCATCGCTTCTTAATGCTCTGCAAATTTTATTTTATTTTTTATTTTTAAGTAATTTGTACACGCTTAATTTGTTGACTTTTATTGTTATTTATTTTGATATTCAAGGATATTTAACGCAAATCCTGTTGTTCACTCAGCATTGTTTATTGTAAAGGAATTCATGTACCAGTTTGTTGCAACTAATTTATATTTTATTTATTTTTAAGCACTTTTTAATGTCTTAGTTAAAATTTAAAGAACAATTTGCTTACTTGTACGTTATGCTATGGTCTACTTTATATCACCAAGAACTATAAAATTAGAACAATCAAAAAGACGAGTTACTAAAAATTTTGTGGATCATTAAAAGGACATAATAGACTATAAAAACTTTTGCAATGAACTCTCATTGGTGTGCTCGGAAATATTAGTAGCTTCTTAATTAAAGGGAGTAGCAAAATTAAACCAAAATAAAGTCAGTTCTAAAGTTTAATAAAACTTCCGAATGTAATAGAAAATATATATTAAAAAATACAATTCAAATAAATTTTTAAGATATAACTTTTATTAAACCTTTACTTGCTATATTATTTTGTTCTTAAATTTAAATTAATATTTTCATATTCAACTGCATATCCACAAAATTAAAAATAAAAATAAATAAAAGCAATTGCTTGGACCGACATCCTTGGCAACTAGTAAATACTTTTTATCGTTTCCTTGGCAATACTTGTTTATATTCTATATTTGCCGACTTCACTCTAATAAACAAAGTAACTTAAATATATTTCTAAAACAAAATAAAATTTTCATAACAATATTAAAATTTATTTGATTTTTATATATTTTAACATTTACATACCATTTGTTGTAACAAAAAAAGTGAATAAATTCAATTTTATTGAAACTTTGCATTGATAATTGTATATGTTCAAACATGAAGAACGCAAAACTTGTAACAAAAAAAAGGACATGCAAAGAATGTGTGTGTCCTAAAGTGAAAAAAGTGAAAAAGCCGGATCCAAACTTAAGCTTCTTCCACAAAAGAACTAAATCACCACCAAAAAGACATATAATTGATTGTCCATTTTATACCTTTGATTATGAATATGATGACCTACCATTAGATCCAGTGAAGACATTTCTGCGGGAAAAAATTTGTAAGAATTCAATTTTTTTTTTGTTTTTGACATAAAAATACATTAATAGTTAATAATTACAATTAAGAATTATTTAAAATTTGCACGAAAATATTTAAACAATAATATACTTTCCTATATATATTCTTTTCTATACTTCCTATATATGAGATGCAGTCGAGAAGTGTAACAAAAAGTGTATCTTTTTGGAGTGAATCTTTTTGGAGTGTATCTTAGTGGGACAGTCAGTTATGCAATTTTTAACTATTAAGCAAAGCTTAGAAGGCGTATTTGCTTATAGAGTTAGTTACGTCTTTGCCGATTTTGTGTGTGATAAAACTTCCTTTTTTTTGGTTTTTTTTTATTAAAAATGAAATTAATTGTATGCCGCAAAATTAATTTAAACTACGTTTGAAATATTGTATCCTAATCGTAAGTTTATGGTACAAATAACTTGAGGAAGATTGGAAAGATATTACAAATGACGCTAAATCTAGGCAGCATAACACTGGACATGTTCATGATAAAAATATTTAAGAAAATGGTTTGTGCTTGTTAGTAAATAATGACTTTTCCTGAGATTACTGAAAAAGTTAAAATATCACACAACTTTTCCGAACATTTCCGTTTACGAATATTTTGGCCCCGAAAAGAATATTCAAAACACATCTTCCTAGAATTTGGCACTCAACCAACAGTTATCTCTAATAGTAGAACCATTATCACCCATTTCTATGATATTCTATGATTTTTTTATATTTTTCAAAGCACAACTCTTCTTGTTAAAAAAATAACATATAAAAACAAAATTAAAAAAATTTTTTTTAAAATTTAACATTTTTGCCACTTTTTGATCACATCTCATATATCCTTATCTCTGAAGTTTTTTAATATATAATGTGTCAATTTATTGTCTTCTCCTTACTAACTTACATTTTTATTGCAGCCCATATGCGAACTGATAAAATTGTTGGAAACTGCAATCAAGAGTTGGAATTTATTGAATTTGATGATATGATTTGCAGTTACATATCAGATTGTGAAATACCCAAAGATGTTAAAATACTTTCAGCAAAAGATATTTTAATGCCCGAAGCATTCGAAATGCTTATGGATAAAAAGGATCATAAATACTCATTTGACAGTAGAGGTAAATTAAAAGCTTTATCGAAATAAGTTTAATGAATTATTTGACAATAACTTAATAATGTGAAATACAAACATAATGTTGATGATTTTTAAACTGTCCTTTATTTTTATAACCAATATCTTTCTTATACTTTCAGATTGTAATCAATTTCCGTGGCTTGATATGCCGCCCGGTTAGTAAAATATTCTCTTAATATTTCATTATTAATATTAATGAATTATTTATTACCAGAAAAACCAAGTGAAGAGCTAGTTTTCGAAGTTACCAGTGAATTGTTGAATATATATAAAGAGCGACGTGTACGTATATTTCATAGAAGCGCAAATACACGTTCACAACTTTATACAAATCTTTTGAAAAGGGATTATGCGCCTCCCTCAGATCTTATAGGTAAAAAATATACATTTTTGTATAATATATACATATGTAATTAATACTAATAATATAATAAAACTATTAAAATAATTTAAGGAGCTTTTAAAAGTCCTTGTGCGAGAGATATAAATATTCACAGTATTACAAAGCAAAAAAAATCCATAACTGGGTTAACGTTTACTCCAGAAGATCATTACACCCTACGTTCTGCTGAAGGTAAATAAAGAGTTTTAAAAACTGATTATAAAATAATAATATTTGATTACACAATCTAAATATATTTTCATAGAATGCCGAAATGAATTAGTACGCATTGGAAAAGTAATCGATGAATTAATCGAACCATATTTGAAAAGTGCAGAAGAACGTAGAAGAAAGCCATTAGAAGTACCGGACGATGAAAGCATTCCAACTAGCCAATTCTCAATATTCTCATATGATAAGGAACCAAAACCATTAAAATGTGTGGATTCATTCAATCAAAAACCTGGTCCTACTTGTTTACAAAAAATAACAGCTAAACGTTATGCAAAAAGTAAACGAGAATCAATAAAGCGCAAATGCCACAAGCCACAAAGCCAAGAAACTTCTATAATAGATTCCTTTGAAACTGAAACACTATTTGAAGAAGAAGTTCTTTTTGAAGAAGAAATGCCATACGAAGATGTAGATTTCTTTCCAAGTGATAGTCTAACAACATCTTTAGAGGAATCCATTAAAAGTGAATCAACACGTGCAATATGTTCTACTAAAGCTAAGAAATATACAAAAAGTTTTTTAAGAGCTGAAAAGAAAGCTGTTGCGATAACGAAAAAAATTTGTGAAAGAGTATGTAACTCGCGTTAAATACTTTTGATAAGTTTTTATTTTTTAATATTGTTATTTATCTGTAGTTAAAAGGTGGAACAAGCAGTACGGTAGTTCGCAGACCGGCAAAATTTAAGACAGTTGGAGAATATATGCAGCATCTTAAAGAAACGGACTACGAGTAAGAATTTTATAAATGTTTTGTTTTAACATATTTTGAAAATGTGCTTTCATAAAACTATCAAATTTTCCAAATAATTAATAGAAATCAATAACACTCACTTAACTTAAACTTTGTATTCTAATATTACTTAGATTTTCCGACTACTACGATTTCCGACAACTTAATTATTAATAGCTGCTATATATTTTTTTGAACTCAAGGCAATCCACATTAGCAATTTCCAAATCAGTCATTTATATTCTTTTTTGTTATATTCTATTTAAATTGTTTTATATATTTTACAATTTTTTTTTACAGATAACAATCATAGGAATAATTAACACCTATTAAGATGTATTGAGTAGTCATATTCAATTTATTATACATATAATACTACAATAATAATACAATAATACTACAATACTTTTATTATATATTAATGCAAATACAACAGACGAAAATTCTGATACTTTTGCAACCCTTCCTACTATCTAATTATTGCCCACATTGTCTACAGTTCATTAAAGCTCATTAAAGTGCGACATCTGCAATATTACAGTATTGGCACCACTTACAATCCGTTTAGGTTACATATAGTAGCTTATGTTCTTATCAATTTCAGTACAACTGTTCCTTTTAGCAGAGTTTATTTGTTTAAATTCGTGAGAGATTTTAGTGCAAATACTTATTCTTTTTATGTGTTTTCAAAGTGAGTCTGAGGGCCAGATATATCGCTGGATATTTTAAAGACGCACACTGTTGTACTTGCACAGATTGTTGCACACATCAATGAAGCTTAACCATAACATACCTGCAGATATTAAAGTATTTAATCTAGAGTTTTGCTGTTTCAGTAATTACTGCAGCAATAATTACTTAAACTTTAAGAGAACACAGTAATATTAAACCCTATCAACGAAAATTTGTTGAATTTTGATTAATGATACAGTGAAGCATCAAATGTATTCATAAGTATAATAATTCAATTGGTGCGCTGCTCCATGTCGTCTTTATTCAGTATCGAAATGAATTGTTTTTAAAGTACTTTTTCAAATATTTTCGAAAATGTTACGAGCTGGCTTATTTTCCAGTTTATTTAGCTTTAGCGTCGTTATTACTTCTGAACATCTTCACTGAGATATCATTTATTTATGTTAAACTATTTTAATATATATTAACTAAATATATAATTTAAATAAAACCCATTATGTAAAGTAATCATTAATAGACTAAACTAATCAAGCTAATAGATTTTGCATTTTTTTTTTTTCAAGAACATTTAAATATAATGTAGGACTATTACCAATGGAGCCATTAGATCAAAAAGAAATAATATATCGAAAATACGTGAAGGAAGTTTGTGAAGCCGAAGCTAAATTCACACCATTAATTCGTAGAAGATATTCTAGTTTACTAAAATATGTAAGTTAACAGTAAATTATCTTAATTTTAATATAAGTTATTACTTTTTCCTCTTATTTTACAACTAAAACTTTATTAATTTTTAAAAACAATGAGTTGAAATTTTTACTCATATAATTATATTTTTCAATTAATATATTAATTTTTAAAATATACTCTTGCAATGAAGGAAATGCTTAATAGGACCAATGTATAGATTTAAGTTATCATCTGTTTACACTTGACGGCTTGCAAATAAAAAAAAACTAATTCTAAGTAAAAAGATAACAAAATTAAAGAAAATTTCATTATGGATATTATGTTTTATATTTTAAACTTAATGCATATCTGTTGGCTTTAATGGTAATGTCATATTTCAATTACTCATTGATTATGTAAAACTTTAATATTTAAATAAATTGGTTATTCTAAGAGAGAATCGAAACTATAAATTTTATGAAAATCGTGATTATGCGGAGTACCACGATGTTAGTAAGAAAACGTTTCTTTCAAATACATCAATCTTATTTAAATAAATTTTTATACCTAAAACTTTTCGTTTAATTAAAATGTCAAATATTATCATACTAAACTAATTAACTTGCTAATTTCTCAATTTTATGCAAGTTTTCTATTATATTAGTAGTTTTAACTGAACTTCTATAATTTTTTCTGAATAAGGCCGTTAATACAGAATTATAGTTCGAATAAAAAATCTGTGAAGACGACTCTTTATACCAATTAAATTTGAAATTCTGGCTATACGGAAACTTGAAAAAAACAATTTTAAAATCAGTACACTAAAAAAAATCCTTTTTCGTTATTGATTCACCTGATATTCATATTCTTAATAGTCATTCTAATGCATTTTAAGCCACCTCAAAACGATTTGAAGTGCGCATAAACTGATGCAAATTAACCGCACTTTATGTAGATTAATTTTGCCTCATTTTAAGAGTTAAGATTTATATCATTTTCTACTTGTTGGTACTCTTCTGCTATATAAACATAAAAAGGCTCTAAAATGCCTTTCTGAATTTAAACTGCAGGCAACTCAACTTAACGAGCTGACCAAATAATAAAATGCGAAGTTCATTAGATATTTTATGAGGCAATATAAAAAATACCCGTTTATTGAGCATTTAAATATTTAAATAGGCTTAAAATTAAAACATAAAGCTAAATAACAATAAAGGTTAGATATATATAAGCAACTCATTTAATATGCTTTGTGATATGCTATGTTACACTGCAAAGTCGTTAAAAGCAACATCTGTTATAAATAGCAAAGAGCATACTTTATAAAAAATTAAATAATGTGAAAACAATTGGATAAGAAATATAAAAAGTAATATTTATTACAAATAAATGAAAATTTATATATTTGAAAATATTTGGGAAATTTCAATTAAGTTTTTTAATCGAATATAGATCTTAAAGTCACAATGCTATATCCTTTCATATTAATAATAATAATCATAAGTAAAACTAATAAATTCAAAAATTTTTTGTTATAAATATAACCTAAATAAATATATACTTTCAGTTGTGTGTGCGAAAACTTGATATTTATCCATCGAAGTTAATTAAAAAAGTTATACCAAAAATCAATAAAAAAAATTCAGTATTAATGAACGCTTACAAATTTATCCTGAAGGAGGAGGTAAGTTTACTACTGCACCTAATATTCTTACTTTACTTTATACCTAAAACAATAAGTGGAACTAAATTAAGTCAGATTACTATTAAGAGAATGAAACTATTTTAAATAGAAAGGGATAAATAGTAATAAAATTATCTTAAAGACTTTATTATAAATTAATTGCAAATTTTGACCACTTCAGTTAGTGTGAAACACTCATAATTTTTTTTTTTAAATACATTTTTTTAAAATATATTTTTAAAAATATTTTTTGTTCAGCCATAATATTTTTATTAGTGAATGTCAGGGCTTGAAGTTTAACACAAACTCACGTTTTAAACAGCTGAGCTAATGACATTAATGTCATATATATCCTAATATATATAAAGTTTAAATATCAAATAGTTTTCCACTGGTTTCTTCAAATTAATATAATCATAGAAATTATGCTTAACAGTGTCCTTAAATAATTCTTTAGATTTAACTAAATAAAATAATAACCATTTTTGATGTGATATCCTTTTCGTATCACTAACATCTACGAAAGGAAAACTTGATTTCATCTAACTATATTTCTATCTAACTATAAAATATCTGTTATTTGCAAAACTTATATTATATTCTTACTTATTATTGATTTTGATTTCATTGAACGTTATTTGTATTTGTATTATATTTTATTGATTTTTATTTCGTCGTCTAAAATATTTGTGAACTTACTGATGCTCTGCGGCGTTGAGTCTTCTGCATGGGACTAGAAATATGTAAACCCTTTCATGTTTGCAACTCTACTAGGATATTTCAAGTGGGAATATACACCATCCCTAATACTGGATTCACACGAGAGTTTTATTTGTAATTTTTACTGTCATCTCAAATTAGTCTTGATTTCGATTGCAAAACAAGTTAAAATCAAGATGATTTGTATGAGTATCAATATTTTTGCTTTTTGGTTTCAGATGTCAGTTTAAAATTTTTGACAACTACAATTATAATCAAAACTTTCGCGTAAATCCAGTATAAAGCCTGGTTTCTTTTATTTACACAAGTTGGCAGGCAGTTTTCAAAGCTATTTCTCCGGTTCATGTTTTATCAAGAATATAGGAATACAACTCTTTAACTTACAAGGCAGCTATTCCAAAGTAATTCTAATTTGGATTCCCGTCAATAGGAATATAGTGGAAAAATATACTTTATTATATTTAAGTGAAATTTAGTGGCTCTTCGATAGAACCTCCTGTATCAATTCCTGTTCCTGCTGATCACAAATGAGTATTGGTTATGATCACTTTTTACAACAGTACAACAAGTATTATTTTTATCTGACTTTAATAGCCAGGTCTACAATGGCTTACAAATCTAAATGTCAAATTTATGCTTTACTCACAAAAATAAAATTTGTTAGTATATTATTAGTATTTACAGAACACTTGGCTACATGGTGATATAAAACAAGACTAGGTCTGCTATTCGAAACTACTATGTGTCGTATTCGTCAGCGCTGGTGAAGGAGACATCAGATATCTATTGTATCACTGTCCACGCTTATACTAGTGATATTCTTCGGATATAAATAATCATTAAGTACACTTGAATGATATTTTAAAATATACAAACCATGCTAATTATTAATGATAATTAAAAATATTTTGAATGGGTTATAAATATACACAAATTAAAGAAAAATATACGAAAAAAACTAGCATAAAACTTCTCTGCACATTGCCGATATCGAAAATCCTAAAAAGTAATAAATGGTGGTTAAAATAGTAAATTTAAAGATCACTACTGGAAATTTAAACTTTTTAAATTAACAAATAAATAATCATTTATATTGTTTATAATGATTTATAGTCTAGCCTGTAACTAGGATTACACAGATGCCAGGTTTAACATATGAACGCGCCTTTCTCTAACGCTTTCCCGATTAACTCTAAAAAAAATCGTTCGTATACTTGACATCTTAATATACCCACCTATTTTTAATGCTTGTAAACTTCTATCCCAAATTCAGAGAACCTCTGGAGTTCTAAACAACTTCAAATTCATATTTTATTATAGACTGCATTTTTTCAAAACAGTTCATAAAACTGTTAAATATACAGTAGGTAATTACAAAGTTTATTTATTTATAAAAATTTAATGCAATTTGATATTAGAATTTAAAATAAAAATATTGACACCAATTTTCTATTAATAAACTTTGGCGAAACTTAAGTAACATCCTATGTATACAGCCGTAAATTAAGCTACAAAGTTTTTGTTCACATACTCGTATAAGTTAATATAACATAGCGCACCAGAGGAATATATAATTATTGTTACTTCCGTGCCATACACTAATACTGAATGTTTAGTTAAGCAAGTTTTTACATTAACCTGAACGTGCTTAATTTCATTCCAGAAATATTGGCCAAATATATTTCCTGAAGTAATATTACTGGATTATCTCTTCAGCGGAGATCGTCAAGTACCGAGTGAAATGGCTGTATTAACGATATCATGTTTACTTGATTTACAAGAAGATTTTCGAATGGCTGTGAAAAGAGCATTTCTGCGTTATTTATTAAAGTAAGATAAAAACTAGAATAAAAGTTAATATTATTAATTTATTAAATATTTTTTAAAGATGTTTTTTTTTCGAACAGTAGTAAAATACAACAACAAAAATTTTATTTTTATATTATTTTAATTAATTGAATTTTTAGCTGACCATACAGCTGTTTCGAGTATTGCCAAATACCCATCAGCAGTGGTCTTAGAAATAATTCTTGTATTTAATTATTCGTAAATAATTATTTTTTGAGACTGCAAGTACCAGGAATCGAACTCGGGTCCTGCCAAATGTGAAGCTCAGAATCAGCGCGTCTTAACCAACTGATCCAAAGCCGTACTTGACTTTTTTGTTCGCAAATTTTTCTGGAGTTTCTGTTACTATTACTATGAAAGTTTTTTATTAACAATTTTACTTGCTGTGTTTATATTAGAACAAAATCATAAACCAGCTGTAGAATAATTGAATTAATTAATTAATTATAATTTTATTTTCAATTGTTAAATTTCAATACTATTCTGTTCGTAAATATTTTTTAAAAATTATAATTATATTAAAATGTATTATATTACCTATTGCTTCATATTCATTCTAATATTTTCCCCATTTAATTGTAAATTCAGATCACCGTTGGAGCGTAGGCGCTTACAGTTAGAGCCTGAACCACCAGATTTTCCAACGATGACGATTCGTGCCCCTGTACCATGGAAAAGCTCTATTTATATAGCCCGTAGCCGATTAAATCAACATCTAATGATAACTCACCCAGTATTAATTGCACTTAATATCATATGGCATGAAATGTAAGCTTAATAATATGTTTTATTTAATAAATTCTATACAATTTTGCAATTTAACGAAACTAGCAATCCCCCCTTATGAAGTTATTCTATTTTAGTTTACCTTATTTTACTTATTCTGTAAATACCGGCACTTTGTCAATGCTACTGTTGTTATTATACTAAATAAATTTGAGCAATATTTTTTTAGTTATAACGATATGTTTGTTCTGAATCTAAGTCACTTATTTTGCCAAGAAACGTCTTTTCCAACTGACGAAATACAACGGTATATAGGTGCTCGTTGTGCCGATATAAGAGAAGTAGATATATTAATGTTATTAGTTAAGATTTATATATAAATGCTGTTACTTAATTCAAGGTGCTAGTAAACGATTGGTTACCACGTTGTGCTGATATGATAGATGTTATGCGAAAGTTTTGGAAGGATATGGTTCCTTTAAATGTTAAATTTGAAGGTCGTATAGGTATATTTTTCAATTGTATTCATGCGTATATGTCGCGCCAATTAGAAGGATTGATCACACGTAATGTTACACATTTATACAAGATATTGCTGTATTACACGGTAAGCAATAATGACTGTTGTTAAAAAATATTTATTTTAATTACTTTTAATTTTAAGGATGGTAATGATATCGAAAAATATAATATGTATGATCGCAAACTACGCCGTAAACCACTCATGACTTTAATTGCGTCAGTTGTTGGTGCTCACTTTATAAAACCCGAGAAGTCAGAGGATCACAGCGGCACATCTATATACCAATATGATCCTGATGATGATGCAAACCTGTTCTATGTGCGGCCAAGCCTTGGTGCTCTGGAACCGGTAATTTTTAAAAATTTTATTTATTAATATGACACCAAAACTAGTGTGTCCACATGTCTACGGTTGATGAAATACATTTATATATAAGATATAGTATACAAAATGCTGCAAAATAGCACACAGTTGCACTTTTATTTTACTTACTAAGTAAGCAATTAAATGATATGCAATTTTGTTAATTAAATAAATATTATTTATTATGAAAGGTGACCGAATTGGATAAGTTATCAGAGTTTCTGTTAGAAAATACGGGTAGATTGTACATATATCCTTGCATGGATGCACTTCCAGACTTATTTGTTGAACTATTTAAAACAATTTTGAAAGTTGGATATGATATACCACGTTTGGAATATGTAATGTCGGAAAGTAAGTAAAATCGATTATTTTCGCAATAGTTGTAGTGAACATTTTATTCATAGTAATTAGATAAATTCGTTTGCTTATATTAAAATTATAAAAAATGTACTGAATTACCACATTCAACTAACAAAAAAATTAACAAAAGCGACGTATGCAATATATGCAAAGGACTAATAAAATCTTGTTACAACTAGATATTGTTCTTTAAGTTGACAATATAATGCAAAAATAATTATTACATCAAAAATAAAATATAGATAAAATTGTTTATCGTGAATCAGGGCAGTTAAAGGGTCCATTTGGATAATAACGGATCGAAATTAAAATTAATGGAGTGACATATTGATTGAGACCAAGATAGGAAATGAGTTGTCTTGACGATGATAATGATGTTCATGATCAAATAAATCCACTTTTTAAAGGAATTGTACACAATTGTTAAAGCATTGTAAAATAATCTGAAGTGTGTAAAGTAATAAAATATAACTGTTTGAGATTTGGCACAATAACCAGGCGATATGGCATCACCCATTTAGTAGTTTTTGACAGAAGCAGGAAAACTGGAAAACAACTGAAGAATAAAGCTAATAGATATATAGATATATAGATAGATTACGGTCTATCTAGTACTAATAGGTGTATGTCAGCTTAAGACTAATATATAATTCAAATATATCCTAATAACAAGATATTAAACTATTTTGATATATATTGAATCAGGAAGAGGTGCTTGAGAACTGTTGGATTATATGTATACAAACATAAAATGAAAATATACAATTGTTCTTGAATTAATTAATCACTAATTATAATTAATTAATTTTTTAATGAGAGCACAACAATCTTATTAATATTTAGATATCAAATAAATTATTTCTATTATTTTTCGGTTTATAATCCAAAAATCTCCTCGAAATAAATATTTGATTACGAGCACTTTTATTGATGTTTTTGCCAATAATTATTAATATTTAATTTATGTAATTTTATTTATATCATCTATGTTGTATGTAATGTAGATATTACATATCAATAAAATTCGTAATTATTTAGTTTTAATTTTCATTACAGAATGAAAAACATATACATAAATACATTCATGAAATTGTATGTATATATATATACTGTATGAGTATATATCATACAGTATATATATACATAAAATTTCATGCATGTATTTATTTTTTACATATAATTTTTCATTCGTTATTACTTTCTCTTTTAAATGCCAATACATTTTGACATTTTTATTTCCGCTTTATTTGCTATGAGTTTCCTTTTTATGTTAATTAATTTTTTCTGACTATGTGTATATACTTTTTTTGTAATTTCCTTTATATTATTCGGAAAATTAAAATTATTGTATTACATTTTCATTTTATTTTCAAAAAATATAAAAAAAAAGTATTATATTTTTATTGTTTTAATTTCCAGAACCTGAAACATATGGCACGTTGAACTGTGTACCTGATAATCATGTTGATATGGAGATTCTTTACAATAATGTTAGAACGATAGTTCGAAATAATATGCGCGGTCCAAAAGTTTATCTTATGCCAATTTACAAGTATTACTATCCACTGTTTAATAATATGCTCTATGAGATGACTGAGAAACTTTTTACACAAACCTTTGTACCAGATCTAAAGGTAAATAATATTTACAATATAACTAAATTCATAAAAATCAGATTTACTATATCTGATAATTACATAATTATTAAAAGTAATTTTAAGAAAGTAATACTCAGTATATGTTTTTAATTTTTAATCTACAGTAACTGTTTTTTAAAATCACAAAATATGATAACAATATGAACTGATGTTAGTGTGTCGATTTATTTTTCCCTGGAGATCTTTAGTAACTATCTTCACTTCAGCTAGATTATAGTTGATGAGCTTCGCATACTACTTATAAATTGTGACCGTGTTAATACTGGTAGATTAATTGCAGTTTTTTAATACAACGTATTATTTTAACAGTTATTATCGAAGTTGTGATACCAAAAGCAATAGGTATTTAGAAGGATGTGTTTTAGCTCTTTTTCGTACTGCTTAACGGTTAAAGTGTATACTCTAACCGTTATGACTTTACTATTTTCTAAGCTAGCTTCTTGCTAGGAATTTGGTTTAAAAATGGCTGCTCGCTCACTGCAATCAACCAATTAACATGTTTTAAAGATATATAATAAAATATAAATTTAAGATTATGTATATGAACTAATCTGCCAAAATGTTAATTATCATTTCTGTCACTTTGGCTTCTACAGTTTTATATTAAAACTCACCATTTTAAATTTGACAAAATTTAAAATTGACAAAAATGTTAAAAAATTTATTATACAAACATTTGTTAATATAATTATTTAGTTAATTTAAAGCGAATTAATTTTCTGATCTCTTATCTCAATTTTAGTATAATTAAAATGGTTAAAAAAGTCTACATTTCGAAATAAATAACGAAAATATGTATGTAAGCGAAATGGAAGGCAGTATTTCATTCACTTATGAATGAAGGATAATCATTTCAGGAGTAAAAATTTATGTACCTTCTATTTCTTAGTAAAAATTTTGCTGCGGGTAAAATTATTTTAATTATTTTATTTTGATTTGATTAAAAGCAATGATGTGGAGAATTAACATTAAATTTCATTACGCAACTACATGAGACTGACAGGCAGTTAAATATAAAATCTGATAGACACAAAATTGAAAATAAGCGGACAGACAGGAAATTATACGCGAACACACATGTACCTCAAAAAATAAAGGCAATAGTATCTGATTGACTGATGCAACATTGAAGCAATTGCCTTGCTAGTACCCTTCAAGTATGACATAAACGCGGTTAATTGTAATATAATATTAGTAGCTAATAGGTCGGTCTGCAATTTTTCATATTTTTTTTTAATACGAAACGAATAAGCTCAAAGACATAAAATAATTTACTTTTTATCATACTTGTATCTGTCATCATTTTTCTTAGAAATAATATCAAATATGGCAGATACCTTTGATAGGTATAATGTATTTGTGTATATTAAAACACATATACCTACATATATAAAGATTAGTATAATGCGGTTAATTCATAAAATGGAAATATAACTCTGATCAAGTTTCCTTTATATAACCTTACATAATGAATATAAAAAATAATCGTTTACGAATATAAAAATCAATAAAAATATTTAAGTGCATAGTAACATTGAATTTAATAATAATAATAATACAATCACTATTAAAAATAATGCCTTTCATTTAATTTTAGGGTTTCAAAATGTTTTGTTATTTTTTTAAAGCTTATATCTTTTTTCTGGTACTAGACTGGCAGTTCGTTTCTTGTTTATTGTTATATATATATATTAGAACTATGATTAAAAATTTAAAATTGAAATATATTTGTTTTTATATTTTTATTCTAATATTAATTAGAAATTTTGATATTAAAGCGATAGAAACATTGAAAAAACTTGTAAATTTTTTAAACCAACCAACAAAAATAAATGATAGAGTAGTTAGTTTTATTTCTTGAGCAGAATGATTAATATTACTTCTATATTATTGCAATATTACTTTCAAAACACGAGCATACATATTTAAATACATATAACTACGTATATAAATGATAATATATAATATAATATAAAATGTATCTAACTTTTATTATAATGAATTTAATGAATTAAAAAAAATTAAAAAAAAAAGAAATAGCAGATCTTTGGCATCATTCTCTACTTGTTGTTGTGAAGATCCCCCTTGAAACAATCCAGATTAAAGCTACTGCAACTTACAGTTGATATCTTATTTAAATATTTATTCACTAGATCAAATCACAAAAATTGTCTGAAACCAACATAAATTAAAATTTAGTTAATATAATTATTATAAGAAGCAAAATCACAACATGATCTATTCCATTAAGAATAAGCTTACCCAGTGGCGGAGCTAGACCAACTCTGGACGTCGGCGACATTAGAATGGCGAGGCCCCCTTTATAACCCAGTTGTAAAAGTAAATTAGTTACATTCACTAATATGACAAAGCATGATAGAAAATTTTATTGCTAATCAAATTAAAATAAACACAAATTAAAATAAATAAATTTTCCTTTTTTGTAGCTTTACTCAATTTTTTTTTAAAATTATATCATAATTTGCGCCAGCTGCTACTTTCGCTTCAGTTTATGGAATTTCGAATGAAGTTTATCATCATCTCTTGGATCATCATACTTTTCTAGTACGTCTTAATCAATTTTAAATTTGAAAAGCTTCTTTCCGTCGAAGCTATACTGACTGGAACTGTGAACATGAATCTGGTTACTATATAAACATTTGGAAATATTTCGAATATGGTTAATGCCATTATCGAACCAAATTGTTCAAAATATTTATGAAGTGCTTAGAATCCACAGTCGGCAACTTTTTGCGAGGCCCCTGTGGGCGCGAGGCCGTCGGCGGTCGCCGACATCGCTGACGCCTAGCGACGCCACTGAGCTTACCTATAAGCTATTCTAAACATATTAGGATTATTAATAAAGTTAACAATTTTAGTTTAAGTTGCGATACTTTGTTCGGTTAATAAAAGCCCTTTTTCTGTCAATTGCAAATATGACCAGATAAAACTGTCGAATGTTTCATTCTGCATTTCACAGAATCTGAAATGTTATTAGAAACAGTTCAGATGCCAGCGATCAATCTGTTTTACATCTATATTGACAAGGAAAGCAATTTTGTTAACTAAATGAAGTCTGTGGATTTCCTCAGGTCTGTGAGATCAAATCATTATGAACTTAATTATGATGTCAACTCGCTTTTCTTTGTAAAACTCGCATTTACAAAGAAAATGTTTAATTTATTAGTTTTTTGAACAGCTCTCCAAACTTTAAATTATGATGCAAATCTACTTATTTAATCACATTAAATAAACCTGTATATTATTTTCCTTTTACTGCTTTACTATCGGTGTTTGTATTATTTATTTATATTTTATATTTTATTTTGCGTTTATATTAATGTTATTAATATTTATTTATTGTACATAGTTATTGCACATATACATACTTATTTTGTTGATTTTAATTATCAATTTTTTTTCCTAGAATATTACAGATTTTATGGCAAAACTTTATCAAATTGAGGTCACAGTTTACTATTTGAGAGACTTTATACCATTAAATCTATTTATGCTTGACAATCGTCATGTAAAAGAATCTATTAGAATGATGGTTAAGAAAATATATAGTTTCGTAATAAACTATTACAAAGCAATCAACTTAAACCAAAATCGAGCGTAAGTTAATATTATTTATTATAAATATAGTATTTATTTTAAAACTTAAAATTAAATACATATTTAATATTTTTATTAAAAAAAATTACAGCATATGTGATGCTCTTGAAGAAATGTCTATGAAAGCAGGTGAACGTCCAGAAGAAACTGCGGAAGTTGTAGCGCTACAAAACTATTTAGCTGAATGTCGTGAGGAACGTATATTCGCTATTAAAGATGACCTTAAAACCGTCGTGCAACGCGTAATTTTTCTTTTGACACATTCGACTTTAAACAGTAAGTAACACATGTTACTTCAATTCGAGAATGATGTATAATTTATTAAAAATAATACATAAACTTTTGATCAGGATCATTGTCATAGAATTCTCGTACTTATAATAAAATAGATAGATAGATAGATTTTGAAGGAGTTGGGAACTATGTTACCACGTCACTGCATGCTTTGAGGATTATTTTGACAAACCTACTTTAATTCTATAGCCGCGTAGCAGTTGAAAATGTCATTATGTCCCATAAAGTGATATTGCCTATTTCCGTTATAGGTGGATAAGCAATTGATAAGTACCAATGTCTGAATCTGGCAAGACTATCACAGTGACATAAAATGTGTTTGGCACAGTCTGCAGCTATCATCCCTTGTAATACCTAGATTCGATAGATGTTTTTTGACAACGCAATGTCTAGTGAAAAACCCTTTGACAACCCTGACATGGTTTCTATAGCTTATCTGCAGGCAATTGCATCATCCTAATCAGTCTGAGCTGCTTTTTTCAGCCATTTATTAATTTTAAGTTTGAAAAAGCTCCATGAAAGACCACAGTATGATTTTGGCCCAATACAATATAAGGACGCCCCTTTTCTGGTTAATTCGTGTCCCTCAAATACGCTGTCTCCTGAGCTCCATATTAAGTGAACCCTATTTCTTTCAGCAAGATCTTTGAGAAGTTGAAGGCATTCCCACAGTAGTTTTGAATTCACTCGACGTGAGTAAAGTGCTAGATGTGCTAATTTGCTTTTAGAGAATATATATATATTTTTTCTCGTGGTGGATGTCCCTTTACATTTCTTTAGACATAGTTCAATTGCGTGTATTTTGGCCTAAAACACTGAGTTTTCTTGACTTATACTTGCACATATAATAAAGTATACACAATACATATATTCAGACACCTTCTCAAATCAAATCAACACATGTCACTGTCTTCAACACACTTTAGGTACTTGCAGCATTTCCATACATTGTCATAATTCAAAGATTTACAATAATACAGACAAATTCTAATTAATGTTCTAACCTCAGCGTTGCTAAATATGCAAACAATATTAAAATTTATTTCGAAACCTCAAATTCACCAATATTTCATTGTTTATTCCTTAATACCAAACAGAGGACGAGATTCATTTGAATTCACGCACATTTGTTTTGCCCGGCGAGCTAGAGGAAGTTTTGGATTTGAGTGCAGCGCGTTTGCTTGTGGTGCGTGATAAACTCGAAATGGCATTACGGTAAGTTTTGTCATAAAATTTTGGTAACGTGCAATGATTTCGGCTCCTGTGTATCCGCCATGTGCCATCAAATATAGCAATTCTATTTTCCATCAAATAAACGAATTCTCATATACATTGCTCCTTATACACACATACATGACTCCTTCATCTTTGAGCTACAATTTAATCCACGTATTTTTACTTTCAGCGAAAAGCGTAAGCTGTTTGAAAAACTGCTTGCATATGAAAAACGACGCATGGATGGTTTCCGTTTGAAGGAAATACGAGAATCTTTCACACTAGACGAATTGAAGGAACGCGTTGATACTGCGGATGAGTTGTTCGAATTGATTGAGGTAATTTTTAGAAAATTAGTTATATACTAAGTATTGTTATGAAAATAGAAGAAATAAGTAAGAAGGCAGAAGTTAAGAACTTGTTCTGCTGTTAACTTTGATTTTGAGTAGTTTGTGTAACTTGAGTAGTTTTCGGAAGATTATGTTGAAGTTATTCGAGGGAAACAAAGTTATTTAGTTTGCTTTTCCCCCTTCTTATTTCATTATGCGTTATAATTTGAAGTAAGCTCTAAAAAGGATTAAAAGATTTCAATAAAATTTATTAAATATTTGTTAAATATTTTGTCAAATTAATTAAACTGAACATTTATTTATAGTAGAGATTGTTCATTTTGTTGTTAAAGGAGTTTTTCTAATAGATTGACGATAGATCTAAGACAACCAATAGACATTAAGCGAATATAAAAAACTAATAACCTTTTCAAACAAAACCCTGTTTTTGGCCAACTTCTTAGAGATTTAGATTAAAAACTTTGGAGACTAAGCAATCCCTTTGTGGTAATCTGGTATCGCAATCTTTCTAATGTGACATAATTCCGTCAACTTAATTTGGAGAACTACTGTTCTCCAAGTAGAGTAGGCGCCACTCATAACAAAACACAAAAATACGAATTATGGAACTCGATTAATTTAACATAATTTCTTATAATTTAATTTAATATTCTTAAAAAAATACATCGTCTTATTAATAATAATATAATAAAGAAAGTAATTTGAAAAAATACGTGCCATTAATATATGTGAACATTATTATTAATAAACATTATTAGCTAAAACAAATAATAAGTATAACTTTTCTTTATTTATTGATATATTCTGCACTTTTTAGAAATTCAGTCGTGAAGCAAAAGCTATTAATACTGAAGAAATGCTTCTACAAATTGATGTATCCCCATTCCCGCTGTTAACTGAAATAATTGAGAAAATGGAACCTATAGAAAAATTATGGAAAACAGCCTATGAATTTGAAAAAGATTATGTATTATGGTAAGTACTCAAATAGGTTTCTATTTAAATTGAACCGAACTAAATTTAACCGAATTTCAATTAAATGAATTAATTTAATAAAATTATTTTAAACTAAAAATAATTAAATTAATAAGTTCGAAAAATAAATAGCTTTAGGAAATATTTATATTTAAACCATATTAACTTTAATAGGATGAACGGTCCATTTGTATGTTTGGATGCTGATGTTATACAAGATGAAGTTGAGAATATGTACAAGGTAATAATTTATATTTCATTTCGTATATAAACACATTTTTTAATTTTTAATACATTTGCAGATAATATACAAATTAACGCGTCAATTTGCCCAAAATCCTACAGCAAAACGAGTTGCGGAGACTATGCGCTTAAAAATCGAAAGATTCCGTGTTTACCTGCCAGTACTTGATGCAATTTGTCGTAGTGGCTTATTGCCACGACATTGGGAACAAATTTCCAATTTTTTGGGAAGAGAAGTAAATCCCACGCTTTATCCTACACTTGCAGATATGATAAGTGTCAATATAATGAGTATATTGCCACAACTAGAAGAAGTCTCCAATGCAGCTGGCAAAGAATTTGAACTTAACAGCACATTAGATAATATGCAAAAAGACTGGACAGATGTTATGTTTGAAGTTGTGCAATATCGTGACTCTGATACAAATATACTATCTGCTCTAGATGACATACAGACTCAATTGGATGATCATATAATGCGCACACAAGCAATGAAACGTTCACCATTCATTGTTGCATTGGGAAGCAAAGCTGATGATTGGGAAGAACGTTTACTATTAATACAGAATATTCTTGATCAATGGACACAAGTCCAAGTGACTTGGATGTACTTGGAACCAATTTTCAGTTCAGAAGATATTATGAGGCAAATGCCAACAGAGGGTCGCAACTTTAAAGCTGTAAATATATGTCAAGAAACTTAACTATTATTCAAAATAATTATATATTTTTATATAAAATTATATGTCTTTTTTCTGAAAGGTTGATAAATTATGGCGAAAAATTATGAAATATACATGTCAAGATTTGCATGTTATGGCAGCTACAGAATATCCTAATATGCTAGAGTTGTTGACAAAAGCGGTAGCTGATTTAGAAACTGTAACAAAAGGTTTGAATACTTATTTGGAGCAAAAGCGTTTATTCTTTGCAAGATTCTTTTTCTTGTCTAATGATGAATTACTGGAAATTTTATCGGAGACAAAAGATCCACAACGTGTACAACCACATTTGAAGAAATGTTTCGAAGGAGTAAGTAAACAAATTTTATAAAATATTGTAAGAAATGTAAAATCGTTTTAAATGCATATATTTTGAGAAGTGGATTTTTGGCCTAAGAAACTAACAAATTTGTTTGGGCGAAGGAAAACCATTTAATATGATCGATTTAGTTAATTGAAGCAGCTAAAGTTAACTCAATGGTTAACATATTTTTGTACGCAAATAGAGTTAAAAATTATAGTAATTCAAAAACGTTGTTTTTTAATACTTCTGACATTTTTGCTAAAAATCTTATTTATTCGAAATAATTTTAAAAAAAATTTTTTTGTCTTTTGTACATCAACAAAAACAAATTATTTAACAAATTATTTTATCAACTAATTTTTCTATTATCCGTTTTCTTACTTCTTACCTCTTAAGCGAGATATATTATTAGTATTTTATTATTTTAAAAAAACCTTTATGAAAATCATATTATAGTAAATCATATTATAGGAAGTAATGTACCGAAATAAAAAGTGTTTAAAAAATAGTAAATAATTTTTTAAAACAAGCTTTAAGTTACAAGCTTTTTGAATTGTTTATATATAGATTGCTACTCTTACATTCGATGAGAATGGTATAATCACTGAACTGGTTTCCGAAGAAATGGAACGTGTTTCACTAGTGCGTAAAATTAATCCAGCTCTTGCTAATGTAAGTAAAATTGTTCCAAAAATTTATTACTTTATAATTTACTCAATAAAAATTAAAGGTAATATTATATATTATATTTATATGTATGTGTATATTTATATACATATTATTAATAATATTTTATTATTTATAAGCGTAGGGTTTAGTGGAAATGTGGTTAAAAGAAGTCGAAGGTGCTATGTTGGACAGTGTTCTTAATCAATTAAAGAAAGCTTGGGAAGATTATTATCAAGGTGATCGTGTTGGATGGGTGACATCATGGCCTGGACAAGTTGTACAAGGCATATCATGTATGGCTTGGACTTACGAGGTAAATACTCGTGTATAATATATAAAAATATGTAAATATCCTAAGATTCTAAGCTTTGATTTGTATTTCACAACTATCAGTACATTTTTAAAAGAAATATTTCAAACCTTTTTTAACAAGCTAAATTTGGAAATGCAAAACGCTTTAATATTTTAGATAAATTTTCTGCGATATAAACTATCTACATTTTTTTTTTATTTTGACAGGTAGAGGAAGCCATAGAAAAGAAGTCACTACCAGCATATGTTGTAAAAAGTACTGCACAAATTGGTGATCTCGTACGATTAGTGCGTTTAGATTTAAAGAGTGGACTTCGTATAACTGTTGAGGCTCTTATTGTTCTAGATGTACATGGTGTGTATATACAAAAGAACTTATATGCATTAAACCAATTCAATCAAATCTTACATGTTTTTAGCTCGAGATGTTGTAAAGGCCATCAGTGACTTAAATGTATTATCAATACATGAATTTGATTGGATATCTCAGCTCCGATATTATTGGCATGAAAATGAGAGTATGTAACTTTAGTTAACTTGATATAATAACACAATATAATGATTATATATTGTTTTTATTGTAACAATACATATCCAAATCGTTTTGTTCGATAGAGACTAAAAGAACACTAAATATACACTACTTTCGGGAAAAGATCGTTAAAAAGATCACTAACTTCGAGGAAAAGAACACAACGCGAACATTTTATAATGTACTTTTTATAGCATACTCTTCGTTTAGAGTTTTTAACAAATATACAAAACTACACTATGTTTTGTACTTTACTGTTTGTTTTCGCTCACTGATTTTAAACATTTTAGAGTAACTTATTTAATAAATTACTAATTTTAATTTGCTAATTACAGCATAAGCTCTCTTTTGCAATATATAATCAAATTTAAACAATTACCTCTTAATATATTTTTCCAATTTAAATTGACCATAATAATTTTTCTAAGCTTTACTATATGTATAATATTATATATAACACTTCATATATATCTTTTGAAATTATTAAATGTTTTGATGCGTTTTTTTTTTAACATAGAAAAAGAAGAATACGTCTGTGTCAGTATGGTTGTAACAGATGTTAAATATGGTTTGGAATACCTTGGCAATTTACCGCGTTTGGTTGTTACTCCATTGACCGATCGTTGTTATAGGTAAATATTGAACAAATAAAAATATATGATATTTTAATATTTTAAATCGGAACAACACCTACGTAAATAGTCGTAATGCTTAAAATAAAAAATTTTATGGTAAGTGTTTGGAATTTACCTACATCACGCCTTTCCTACAAAATAAACAAGCAGAATTAAATCCATTAAAATTGAATTTTCAGAAATGCATGTTTATAGACATATTCGGCATAAATCTGCCGAATATAGTTAAAACCGAAAAATACAACACATAAAAACCTACAAAAATGGAAACCTTTTTAATGGCTTTTCAGATAATACTTTTCTTTTTTATTATTAAACAAATAAATCAATGTCTGACATTGCACAAACACTCAAGGCACGAAATGTGCAATGCACAGGATACAAGTATGAGTTCGTGTAAAAGGAAACTGAAACCGAAAAATGTTGGCAAAAATAAAACGGAAAAAAGAACAAATGTCATATATTTTTTGTTTTCAAATTTTAAAAAAATACAAATATATTTGCACAAGAGAAAAAAAATTAAAATGACGTCCACACTATAAATGCTTACTTTTAGGCTTTGAGCGGAATTATACCTTTTTGCCAATTTACTTGCTCCGTTTTATTGTGATTTCATTTGTTACAGATGCTTTTCTATTATTTTTGTTTATTTTGAATTAAAAATTTTTTTCTTTATAGAACTTTGATGGGTGCGCTAAAACTATGTTTAGGAGGTGCACCAGAGGGTCCAGCTGGCACTGGTAAAACCGAAACATGCAAAGATTTAGCCAAAGCCGTCGCTAAGAAATGCGTAGTTTTCAACTGTTCCGATGGCTTAGACTACAAGGCTTTAGGAAAGTTCTTTAAGGTAATTGAAAATAAAAAACCAATGGTTTTATACTTGATAATATTTTATATATTTGTCATATTATAAGCGTCAGTACGTTTTGTTTTGAATGTTTTAAATATTTTAATACTTATTTAAACTCGTCTTTGACGATATTTTAAGCGGCGCACTACCTTATAGCGATATCCATCATCAGCAAGTGCAGCTGATTCTTGTGGTTCTACCACAATTTGTGCTTCCTCCAGAGGTGCACTAGCAACTGGTGGTAGATACTCATTGGAAGGTAACTCATTGACATCACGACGTTGACGATATTTTACTCGACGTACTACCTTATAGCGATATCCATCATCAGCAAGTGCAGCTGATTCTTGTGGTTCTACCACAATTTGTGCTTCCTCAAGAGGTGCACTTGCAACTGGTGGTAGATATTCATTGGAAGGTAACTCATTGACATCACGACGTTGACGATATTTTACTCGACGTACAACCTTATAACGATAGCCATCATCAGCAAGTGCAGCTGATTCTTGTGGTTCTACCACAATTTGTGCTTCCTTAAGAGGTGCACTTGCAACTGGTGGTAGATATTCATTGGATGGTAGCTCATTGACATCACGACGTTGACGATATTTTACTCGACGTACAACCTTATAACGATATCCATCAACAGCAAGTGCAGCTGATTCTTGTGGTTCTACCACAATTTGTGCTTCCTCAAGAGGTGCACTTACAACTGGTGGTAGATATTCATTGGAAGGTAACTCATTGACATCGCGACGTTGACGATATTTTACTCGACGTACAACCTTATAACGATATCCATCATCAGCAAGTGCAGCTGATTCTTGTGGTTCTACCACAATTTGTGCTTCCTCAAGAGGTGCACTTGCAACTGGTGGTAGATATTCATTGGAAGGTAACTCATTGACATCGCGACGTTGACGATATTTTACGCGACGTACAACCTTATAACGATATCCATCATCAGCAAGTGCAGCTGATTCTTGTGGTTCTAACACTATTTGTGCTTCCTCAACAGGAGCAACTGCAACTGGTGGTAGATATTCATTTGATGGTGTATCAATGGCAAAAGCCGTTGCTACAGCTAAGCACATTAATGCTGCTATAAGAAATTTCTGCAGTTTAATAGAAAACAAATTAATTATTACTTTAATTAAAAAACAAATTATTGTAAAAATAATGTGATTATTTATTAAAACCAACCATTTTTCTTCTCGATTTGTTAGCAACCTAACACAACTTAACTTCAGAAACAACAAGTTCAGAATAAATTCTCTTCATATTAATTTTTTATTTATAGTAAATTTTTGTGGAGTTCGGGTGAGAACGATTTTGTCTTACCCATATTCTCATTAATGAAAAGACAAGTTCATACTTATTCTTTTTTCATGTCTTTATCAGACTTTGTTTTATTTTTCAATATATATTGTATTTCTACTATGAATGGTTAGTTAACGAGTTAATTGAGTAGCTTCAATACTTCAAAGATTTCAGAACTTGATAGTAAAAATTGATTGGCCATTTCACCATTAATATTAATTAACTTTAGTTCAGTCTTAAAAATTAGTTTAGATTTTGTTTCTAACTTTTGTTTAGATTTTTATTTTTAACTTTTGTTTATTTTTTTCAAGAGAAAATCATGTTATCATGCTCTCTTTGGAGATGATAGATTCTATCAACAACATCGTTTACTTTTACCAACTTATGGTAACTCCAGCATATTACATTGCCAAAAACTGGGGTCATTAACCAATAAATTTGATATTTTATAAAAAAAAATTTTATTTTTGCAATTTTTATTTAAATTTTGTGCCAATAAATTTGTAAGAGTTTGAATTTTAAGTGGGAGCTGTCACATTTACTATCAACGCGTGGCAAATTTTGCATAATATTAATATTTAATATTTTAGTTGTTCTATGTGTTTTTATAATTGTAATTTATGCAAATTGCTTACAAATATTGAACGATCTTATAAGAAGGACCTTCATAATTAAGAGAAATATAAATATAATAATACTTTAATAATTGCAATTACAGTAAATGCGGCTCACAAAAAGATATGTACTCCAAAACATTTTTATTCAAATTAAAGACCTGAATATTATTTTAATTACTTTCATTATGATAAAATATTGAAAGTGAAATATACATATTTCGAATACAATTGGAAAAATAAATCGAATTTTATAAAACACCTAATTAATGAGTTCGGTTAATGCTAAACAGAGGATTCTTTGTTGTTTAATAAAAAAACTTCAAATAATTTAACTTTTTTATTTTTATTAATTTAATTATTAAACTCGAATTTAGTATAGATAATAAATGGTACTATCTATACCATATTATTGTTTCTTGATATGGAAAACAATCAAATAAAATCCATATTTATTAATATTATTGTTCATGGAACTGCTCATATCAATAAATTAATAATCATTTAATAAAAATGAAATGAAGGTATATTGCGTTAAAAAAATTAAAATTAATATTGATACAAATTTTTTTTAAACCTATTATAGTGTGCCAAAGGTATAGGCATTGTTGTGGAAAAAATATCAAATGCAATCTTTAAATTTTTTTTTAAGTTTTTTAACTTCTCGTAGTATAAATGTTATAAAAGAGCATCCAGATGCAATTCGCTTGTAGATTCTCATAAATTAAATATCATGTAAGCAACTACATTCGACCATATTGTTCGGTTTTGAAATTTATTTTCCTTTCGTTTGAAAATTCCTTTTATTTTTCATATTCTTTATTCATTTATTTATGCCTTTTTATTTATTCACTTTTGAAGGGATTGGCACAATCTGGCGCTTGGGCATGCTTCGATGAATTCAATCGAATCGAATTGGAAGTATTGTCTGTAGTAGCGCAGCAAATTTTAACCATACAACGGGCGATCGGAAGAAAAGTTGTGAAATTCTTCTTTGAAGATACAATGTTGCGTTTGGATCCAACTTGTTCCATATTCATAACCATGAATCCAGGGTAAGTACTATATGTGTATGTATAGAATGTATGTAAATGGGATGTTATTTGTGCGAGGATGCATATTAATTTCCTTTATGAATACGATTTGTTAAAACTAAGAAAAACTAGTAAATTCTAATGAATTTATGAAATTTTTTAAAATTCCTGTTTTTTGTTAGCAAACCAAGATAAGATAAACTATTTAATTAACACTTTTTCTTTTAAAATTCTTGAAACGACAAACTTCAATATACAAATCACAAATACATGTCTTTGTAGTTTAGTTAATAAAAAATTTTTTTTCTTAGTTAAAGACAGGAATTTTTCTAGATGTTTTCATATTTTTTGTAAATAAATCTTACTTTTTTATGTTTTTTAGCTACACTCTTCTTCTTTTTGACAAAAGTTATCACAAACGCATTTATCACTAACGCATTTCTACAAGCTATATGTGGCACATTAAAATACATATTTTTTCATATTGATGTCTATACAAAACAATGATCTTATATACATTTTTCCAGTATATATTTCCGTTTACAGTCATTTAAGTTTTGTATCTCATGGTCTTCGCATATTTTTCTGTACCCTTTCATTCATTTATCGAACTGTAGTGTATTTGGTTGCGTTTTACTGCGTTCTAACCATGGAGTATGCCTTAGACTTTGGTCGCATTTGCAATTCCCAGCAAAATTATTGTTGTTATTGGGTTATTTGAGATTTCTGAAACGAATATTTATGACTTTGAAATGCATGTAGAACATCTGTGACAAACATATTGAGTAGTATTATTAAAGCAAACAAAGTAACAGACTACTACTTGGCTTATTCTGTACATTTTTGCATGTTTTATCATTCTAGTAAAAGGAATGTAAACTCAATTTGTCATTGTGTAGCAGCTTAAGGGGATTCCTTATATTTTTACAATTGAATTGTTATTTATGATAGCCCACTTCGGTTTTTGTGGTTGATTATGTGCAATAAGTAAATGCATGCTATAAAGATTTGTTAGGCATTTGTGACGAATTTCAAGCCATTTAAATGCACTTCTTAAAAATTGATTAGCAATTTAAGATTTAAAAATTAAATCTGTATTTAAAAACATACATGAGTAAGACAGTATAAGATAATAAATTAATTAAATGAATTTAAATTAAAAACTGAAGACTTTTACTTTAGCTATCAACGTATCAGGGGATATAGAGTTGTGATAACACAACTCTTCTATAAATTGCAGAAAGTTCATTACTCGTAAAATTGACTCTCAGTACAACGATACATATAATGTCAAGACCTTTCATTATTTTCATTGCAATTTATATACAAAATTTGTTTTAAACTGAAATTATATTTAAATTGTCTTTTTTTTACAAAAATTTCATCAATCATTATTTAGTTGGTTTGTTATATCGTTAACATATTCGTTAACCTAAAGTCATCTCTGTTTTTTTATATCCTCTCTGCAGTTTTCCGCCGTTGCGTAAAGTATTTAATAAAATTTACCTAATTAAAAAATTATGTCCGTTAATTATGTTTTGACACTGTATTTTATTACACTGCATTTAACAAACAAATAGATATTTGTTTATCAACTTATTATTATTATTATTTTCAAAAAAACAGGATAAAAACATCGCATTTGAAATATTGCTTTTGTGTATGTCGAGATGCTCAAATCTAATATTAGTAACCACCGTATATCTAACAGTAACAAACCAAAAATCTTTCTTACCAGGTAATTATGAGGGTCTCACTATGGGCAATAAATGCCTTCAAGTGAAAGAATTTATATATATATCAATTCTACCACTATCAGAAGAAAAGGGTGAAGCATTCCCATATTAGTACGAAATGTAATATTTTTACCCACCTTTGTTTTATTCTTTCTGAGGTTTTTATTATTTATATACGGTATCACAATGGGCCAATAGGCCTAAGTGGATCTACTAGGGATCACCGGTATAACCTAACCTAACCTAACCTTGTTTTATTCTTATGGTGGGAGTTGGTTTCATACGATTAACTTCTTTTTTTAACTTTTATTGTGATGTAAACATATATTTGACTAATATAAAATAATTTTTGCTTAACTCAAACTACAACAAGTTCTTTTTTCATGGTAAACATTTAATACTAAATCGTTTAGTACATATATATTATATATATAATACATAATTTTATATATAGTACATATTTCTGTACAACATTAATCAGCTGAATGAATTACAATTTGTATGAAATTACAATAACAACTACAACACACAGAAAAGCATTATTTTATTTTTCTGTTTTTAAAAATAAAACGCCCGACTTATCAATTATATTTTGCTTTCAAAAATAATAGTAATTTTTGATTTTTATGTTTTTACAATAATTATTATTATACATTATTATTTTTATAATAAAATATTATAGAAATTATAATTTAGTTTTCATTATAATTACAACCAAAAAATATTAATTATTTTAAAATAAAAAGTAGTGTGTATGAGTTAATTACTCCTGAATAAGTAAAAGGCACATAATAATAATTGTTTTTAAAAAACAATATAAAGCAAATTTAATTATTATTATTTGATTTTTATTTTTGAACGCTTATATATATAAAATATACATAATATTAGAGATGAAAGTTGTTAAAATGACAACTATATGTTATAATTAAAAAAAAATTTAGACCACTTCCATTTTCCTTGAAAATTTTTTAAATAATCATTATTTTTCATGGACCCTGATTACAAACATTACGAGTTTATGTTTTTTTCATTAAAATTTTTCAAATTCTTATTTTATCTCTGCGACTTTTTTTCATCATAACTGATTATAAACGTTTTATTTATCAATATCGGAATACTATTTAACAGATCCGATATGATTGTGATATCGTGATTTATATACACGATTGGAAATACATAAATTAGAAAATATACATTATATAAAGAATATTATTAAGGGACTAAAAAAAAAATTTTTAAAAATACAAATTCTTTAATGCAAAACAATATATATATAATTTTTATATAATTTAAATCCTAAAACAAGCAATTTGATTAAATCGTTTTTAGGATTACTAAGTAATTTAATTGTTTTGTAAGAATTGAATTTTTGAAAATGGAATTAAAATTTATGAGTATTGTTTGGTTTCTATTCAAAACATCTTTTACATATTACTTTTTTTTTTTAAACTTATAACAAAATGTAATTAAATCATATTAGAAGTTTTTTAGACTTTTAAAGTGTAAATTGAGAATCTATATTTTTTTACAATTTTAACAAACCGTAAAACATCTGTCCAAATATATGGTCAAAAAGGAAAACTTTTATATTTTTCTTTCTGTTCTTCAACATTGATTTGCTAAATACACGCACATACAACTTTTTATGTATTTATTGTTCTTAATATTTTTTTCTTAACTTTTTTCATACAGTTATGCTGGACGCACAGAACTTCCTGATAACTTAAAGGTACTCTTCCGCACAGTGGCCATGATGGTGCCTGACTATGCTATGATTGGGGAAATCACTTTATATTCGAACGGTTTCGATGATGCACGAATGCTGGCACAAAAAATTGTCCACACATATAAATTGTGTTCTGAGCAACTTTCATCACAATCTCACTATGATTATGGTATGTACCAGTATTTTTTTGCCAAATTTTTTTTTTTGTTACCAACGTCCTTTTAGCTGTATTACCTACAGTCGTTCCAAGTTAAAAAAATTTTTACAGAAGACTAAAAATTATATGACCATTATTTTGAACGATTTTTAAAGGAAAAATATACTTTAAAGTCACAACTATGTTTCCTAATAGATACAAGTTCACACAAATATTTGCTTCAGAAGTTCAACTAAATACAATTTTTGGTCCTTATTTTTTTTTCGTTGTTTTTTTATTTTATTTTATTATATTTTATTTTTATTAATAATGTTTTTTATTTGTATTTTACTGAGTTTATATCTTCATTGTGCTTTTAAATCAAACTGATTTTAGATGTACAATGTATCTACTGACATAGAAATAAAATTCGTGCTTTTTGTATTTGTATTAAAATAAAAAGCAAATGATTTATTCGTTAGTCTATATATTTTTGTGCTAAAAATGTAACATTTTTTAGATAGAAAATACTTTAAATTACGCGCGTTTAAATAAAAGTCGAATTACGGAACCATTAATCTTCGTAGCGTTCACTTTCACTCTGAAGAAATATATTCAACTTAGTATTAATTTAATTCAGAAATACACATTAAAAGTTACGAGTGCATTTAAATTGATGAAGAAAATTTTTCGAAATTGCAGTAGCAGATACTCGTACGTACATAAATAAAGCAAGAATATTTTCATGGATTTACAACTATAGCTATTTTTTAAAATTTTTTTGTTTTAATCTGTAAAAATCTAATTTATTGTTTCCATAAAAATATTAGAAAATAAATTTATAAGTGCAATAATAAATTGCAAAAAAGTTTTGTACATACAATGTAAACAAATAGGTAAATACTTTCCATTTGAACTTGAACTATAAAATCCAAAATTATCTAAAAATAATGAATTTAGTACTTAATTTTTTTATTCTTATAACAAATTTTGTTTTTTGTAATTTATACAAATCTAATTTATTGACTCTATGCAAATATTAGAAAATAAATTTTTAAACTGCAATAACGAATTATCATAAAGTTTGGTACACACACTACATATAAGCAATTAAGTAGAAACACTTCATTTACGCTTGAATTGTAAAAAGAAGCATAGGAAAATAATAAATCTAGTACTTAACTTTTTGTTTTTATAATTAATTTTTTTATTTTTTTTGACACTAAGGCTGTTAAAAAATAAACTGAAATTTTTTGTTTCATTATACTTTTAGTATTTTTAGGAATGCACTTTTTTCTCATTCTGTTTCTCTTTTAAATTATTTTCGTACTTATTTTAATTATTTATTATATTTTATAATCTACCCTCTTTCCCGCACATCAAAGCGGCTTAATATTCCAGCAATTCTTTAAAATCTAATTTTACTCTTTAAGACATATAGAGATTATAAATAAACCAATAAGTTAAAAATCTTTATGCAAAAGTGTGTGATATTAAATAATGTGGTCCATATATTTCAGGAATACTGGTTATATCATAAATTATTGATATATATATTTAATAATTATCATACTTTAATTATTTATCAAACTCATATCATGAGTCTGTCCATAATTTATAAAATTTAAGTACGAGATTTGAACATTAGTTTTAGCCTTTACTTGCCTCAGATATCATATTCATTAATTGTTACGTATAAAGATTTGTTAATATCATAAACTTATATACAATTTTTCACTTCAATAGTAAAAGTTTTCGTAACTTTTAATACACAATATTAAGTTCTACATCATTGAAGCGAAAGCTATGTCATGTATGACATTTTATCATGGTTTAAAACTTTAAGAGACTTCCTTTGATATCCAAAACCAAAGCATACGTTTCACTTTTATTAATGAAGGACTCATATTATCATGTAAAGTTTGTTTAAGTATTGTAATTTTGCAATATTCACATTTGTTAAGTATTGAATTCTCAATACTAAATTAGAAATATTTACAAATGAACCAAAAGGACTAAACAAACATGAAGTCTCTCCATTTGCAGCGCGAACATCTTCCGTCCATTTGTACTGCAATTCCAGCAAAGTTGGCAAAACAAACGTGTCACTTGATATATTGGATTTTATATTATGAATTTTGTGCAATATTAGCCAATAGAGCGTATACTGTGTACTTCATAAAAGAATTTTATCTTGTGTTTCCCCAACTTTGACGTTTTATATACTGTATTTTCGATCAGAAGTATCTCATTGCGAGTTTAGATTGAAAAACTTTTGAAAATATTTTTCCTTTCGTTGGTGAAGCATACAAGTATATTATGACATACTTACTTATACTCGTAAGTGTATATAGTAGTTTACAAAAATATACAAAAATATATTCAGATATACGAACACTTTGGTTGTATTTAATGCTAGTATTTTTATATCTACTTATTTTCTGTTTATTTTCTGTTTCGATAACAGATGTAATGAAACTTTTTTCAAATATTTCATTTACTACAAATATTTCCTGTTGAGTTCTGGTTATAAAAAATTTATGTTGGTAAAGTACTTCAAATATTTCGAAGTTTAACTGGTATCTTAATTTTATTATAGCAACTAATATACACTTAACAACAGTGTCAAAGGTGTATATAATAACACCTTCAAAAGTTTGGTATATTTAATAGTCATATATTAAAGAGTGATTATTAAAAAACGCAATTACAAAAATTAAATTAATCTTTTTTTTATGCAGTTTCGAATGTTGAAAATGAATGAGTTTAACTCAACACAAAAAATAATTATTCATTTATTTAGGAGTCTCAGAGTTGCACACAATGTCTTAAGGGTTGGTCTAAACACACACTTCAAGAAATCTTTATAAGACCCTTTGTAAGTCTGTCTGAGGAATACAACTTCAATAACTCCTTAGATTTTCAAAAAACCGTTGGTATTAAACTCCATGTGGTATCGCTGGATATCAATGAGCTTATGTGTGGCTTACAATCAGCTAGATTAACCTAACCATCTAACATATTTATCACACTATTTGTTGTTTTTGAATACCTCAATTACATTTAGTTTATTTATTTGCACATAAAATTAAATTACAAAATAAATTTTTAAATTATTGTATAAAAGGTATGAGAGCTGTGAAATCCGTGCTGTTAGCATCTGCTTCTTTGCGCCGCTTATATCCCGATTTACCCGAAGCTCAGATTGTGTTACGTGCTATTGTAGATGTTAATTTACCAAAATTCTTGGAGCAGGATGTTTCCTTGTTTATTGGTATTTATATGGATCTTTTTCCAGGCATTGAGCTACCAATGGTAAGTGCATATAAAATATATTTAAAATTTAAGATATGGGATGTACTAAAATAATTGATGTATATATAAAAATTAAAGAAACTTTCAAAATACCTATTAAAAAGCAATATAAATACTTTATAACTAATGTTTTATTAACAATAGATATAATTATATTAAAAATACCAAATAAGATTCCAAATTATATCCCTAGAAATTTAGTAATAATTTCTATTTATAAAACTTAATAAACAAACATTTTATTTCTGCATTTCAGCCCCAACGTGAAGATATACTTAAATGGTTAAATAAAAATCTTGCTGCTCAAAATCTTCAGGCCACGCCCTGGTATGTGGAAAAGATTTTACAGATTTACGAAATGTTACTGGTTCGACATGGTTTAATGATGGTTGGCGCAGCTATGGGCGGTAAAACCACAGCTTATCAGGTAACATTATCAGATTTACTTAAAAACTGGAAATCAGTTATTTAAGAATACTAATTGTAATGTCTCATGCTGATTATTTAAAAGGAACCATACATATGTATAGAAATCTGCATTGTTCTTAAGTTTTGACAAATTGAAATGTGTATACAGAGGCTTTCTGGAAATTTTCCATAATTTTAATGCGGTTAGCTGGCACTTTGTTATCAGTTAAACGTATAACCAAAAGTTTACAAAATTAAATAATTTTTATAAAATAAATATTACTATATAAATTAACAGAGAACACCAAATAAATATGATTGTTAGTAATAAAATACTTAAAAGGCTTAATATAAAAAATACGCTTTTAAAGCATTATTTTTTGTTCCTTAAAACCCGCCTACTCCAGCAAAATAATAATTTTACAAAAGAAAGCAATAATTTGCATATAAAACGCAATATCTGAGATGTTTTCTTTTGAATAAAGGTAAAGTAAAAGCGGTGACAAGCGCAACTGCTTATCCTGGCATCCTTTTAAATTTTTTTGAATAATTTGTGCCTGCTAGTCTATAACACTAACAAAAAGAAATGAATGAAATATTAAAAAGGCTTTGATATGTAAAAAAGTTGCGCCTTATTTGCGGTGGGCGTATAGTGCACCTTTTTTGTTATAAAGTAATAAAACTCACACAGGGTTTGATTAGAAAAAAAATCAATTTTCCCAAAAACGTTGACATATGTGAAATAAAAAAATTTAAAAAGATAAATCCAATTCAATTCAATAAAAAATAACATATTTGTATGTGTGTAATTTTTAGATATTAGGAACTACTTTGCGTCATGTCAGTTTGGATGAGAATGCAACACTTAAGGAATTTCCTGTTAATTTCCGTATAATTAATCCAAAAGCAATTACAATGGGTCAACTATATGGGCGTTTCGATCCAATATCACATGAATGGTCGGATGGTGTACTTGCCAAAACATTTCGTGAGCAAGCAATTGGTTCACGTCAGGAACGTCATTGGGTTGTATTCGATGGTCCAGTTGATGCTGTTTGGATAGAAAATCTAAACACTGTATTGGACGACAACAAAAAATTATGTCTGATGTCCGGTGAAATTATGCAAATGACTAAAACAATGAACATGATGTTTGAGCCTGCCGATTTAGAGCAGGCATCACCTGCAACAGTTTCACGTGTTGGCATGATTTATATGGAACCATCACAATTAGGTTGGCAAGCTTTCCACAAAAGCTTCACCAATGTGCTTGTAAGAAATATTGGCTTGAATGAAATATATATGCAATTATTCGAGGATTTAGTCGATTGGTTAATTCCTGCCACATTGTTTATATTACCAGACTGTAAACAGATGTTGGAAACTTCACCTATATATCAATATCGGGTATTTCAACCATATTCGTTTGTTAACGAATATATTTAGAATAATATTTAATTACATTTTCAGATGTTTTCAATTTTTTTCCTATATTTTTTGGAGAAAAATAAGCAATATACACAAACGTGGTTTCAACAAACGTTTCTGTTTTGTGTATCCTGGGGCTATTGTTCATTATTAACTGGTATGTACTAAAAAATATATTACTTTATAGTTAAAATGAAAGTATGAGCAAATAAAAATTGTATATTAATAGCAAGGCCATATATTTTAGGCAAAATCTCATAGTAAACATCTCTTCATAGTTGTAGTAAAATAAGAGAGAAATATTTACAGTATAAACATTTTTTAAAAAATAAAAATATAATATAAAAAAAAATTATTTAAAAACAATGCGAAGAATTTTGAAATAATTGAGAACAAAACTGCAATTAATTTCCTTTTGCCATTATTGCATGATTATTTTATATTCCCTAAAAATATTTTTCTAAATTGTTTTCCTAAATGCCTTATATAAATTACTTTTTTAATTAATATTTATTTTGAAACAATTTCAATTATATTATAATTATTTAAATTTAATGTAACGCCTGCGTGTAATAATGTAGATTTTTCAGTTATATCAGACATTCAATAATTAATTATATTAATTAATTGTGAACTTAACTATTTAATGCACAAAAATTTTAAATTGATTTTATATAAAAACATAAATAAATAACATGGAGATATTTCTATTACTCTTTAACCATATCAAATTTTTCGAAACAATTTGTAGTTGATGGACAAAAGCACTTCGACTTACTTATTCGAAAAGTACTGTACGGTTCAAATGATGACTTTCCCCGTCCAAAGTACTTTACACTTAACCGTGGCCAAATATTTCCGGAAAAACTTTCATTTTTGGATTATCGATTTGATGAAGTAGAAACATGGTGGACTTGGCAAAAATCTGATGATTCCGGACAAGCAATAACATTTCCAGAAGGAAAACAAATAAGTGAACTCATTGTACCAACAAAAGAATCTGGTTTTATCACATATTGGCAAGATATTTGTATGACAAAATCAATACCAATGATGGTTATTGGTCCAACTGGCACTGGAAAAAGCGCCATCATTACCAGCAATTTGGTAGCATTACCTAAAAATATGAACCTTGTCAATATAGTTAACTTCTCTGCCAGAACCAGTGCCCAACTAGTAAGTACACATTTAAGGTTTGTTTCACAAAAATTAAATATTAAATATATAATACAATTGTTATATACATTATTATTATAAGTTAACTAAATATACACAGTTAAATAACAAAACAATACAAGTTGCTCCGTTTTGATCTGTTAAGAGCCTAACGTCAATATCATGATACAAACAACATATTCTCTATTTATATACATAATATATTGCAACCAAGAGCCCGTGTGTTCTTGGTCTAAATATCAAAATATCCAGTTCCATTCAAACTATATGAAATATAATATCTGCACAGTCTAGACACGTGATAAGAACGCTATATATTGCCATCAGAATAAGTTCCATTGATATTCGATTATATGTCATTCAGTACAGTTATAAATACCAACGGCAAAAAAATACAGACATGCTGTATATACCCTGATTAATTATGAAAGATTGGCTGGTATTTTTTTCACTGCGTTACTATATAGTAACTTGTCATATAGAATTCGTTTTAAATGCTTCAAAAATCCATTTAAAGTTGGAACATAAAAGTGATAATGACACAGTGAGCTTTTTGATAATCATATGCAAAGTATTATATGCTCCACACATGAGCTGATGCTCATGAACTTATTGAATGATATTCAACAGAATTATAACCTTTCATTTTCTATACTATAGTTCGATAAACCGTCTTTCTTTAGGAATAGAATAAAAATTTGTTGTTCTAGTTGTTTGAAACCGTGTCTGACTTCTACATTTTCGGCGGTGATAGTATACAGTCTACGTGCTAAAACGTTAATGCCAGAATTAAAGAATTTAAAAGCAATAATATCAGGTTCACAGATCTTTTGTAATTTTACAAACGCATGAACTACTGCTATATAAATTAACTTAATTACTGTTATTTTTTAAAATTTAGTACTAATATTTGGAGAAAAGATCTCTTGCATTCTAAAAACATGTTTTGACATATTATCTCTAGTGTTGATTTTTGAGAAACTGATACTGAAAGAATCTTCCAATGTAATTAATTACAAATGGTTTTTTGTAATATATTCGATATCTTAGTATTTTCTTCATGATATAAGAAATATCATTGCCAGCAAGAGAAGTAAGTTTATAAGTATACTTTAAACAAAAAACTAAATCCTATTAGATTAAATTATTAGGTTAAATTGCGTACACTGCATTCCGCATTTCTTTATCTCTTTTATATATCCTGATAAAATGAATTTATCTAACGTTTTATGTAATGCTAAAGTAGGTTAATAATATTAATCGTTTTCTATTTTACAAAAAAGTTTAATCTCAAAATGATATAAGAAAAGGTTATTCAACCTATTCATTATTTTTTATGTGGATTTTATGGGTTAATTAAATTTTTTGAATCAATAAATATGTAAATTACTTTGAAACAATCATTATAATCAAATTAATTATCTCAGCGTGTTTTTATAATATTATTTCGTATGCAAATTTTAATGAATTTATTGGGTGACAAATTTGTTTTGCATAATTAAAAGTATTTTATGTATACATTTATAGATTATTTACATTTTTTGTTTAAGCTTATATGGTAATACATAATATGGTCGATTATAAACATAATCCAAAGATTTAATACAAACAATTGTTAAATTCTGTTCTCGAATTACCGAAATTTAGATATTTCGGTAATATGGAAAATTTTTGGAATATATTTTAGTTTATCGAAAATATGCTGTATATTTTTTTAAACTATTAAATATGTTTTAATTATTAATTAGAAAACGAACGACTTAGTTTATCCAAAAGTTAATATGAGCGTGCGAATACTTTTATAGATTTTATTTTATAAAACTCTTCAGAATATCTAAATTTTATTAAATTAATAAAATTGATGTCCACTGACAGGTTGCTTTATTCATACCTCATGATATTTAAAATGTCTCTAAATTGAACATAGGTACACCATATTCAATGTACTTTTACTAAGTTCTTAGTTGTAAAATCAATTGTAAACATAACTGAAATATAGGTATCATATGGAAGACACTACGTGCTTCATTTGCACAACACAAAATTCTAGAATTCTGCAAGCAACATATAGCAACCTTGCCTTTTGTCTTTAATTAAGATGAGACCAATTCTTGGGTATGTTAGACTCTTAACTGCATTCAATGCATTTATGTCATAAGCATTTTAAGTTTTATATATATCATAATATTGTAATAATCCGAGTAGCTGTAACCTTTATGTATTATAAAAGCATAAAATGGACGCCTGAATATAGATAGAAAAATCTAATGGTTCTAGAAATTATTTTTGTTGCATAAATTGTACTCAATTCTTCGTGTAAAAAAGCAGATTTCAATTAAAATAAATAATTATTAAGTAATTAACTGTACTAACTATTTTATAAATATGCGCTTACCATACAAATTAATATATTATAACATTATATAATATTACACAAATTAGTACATTAAACAATAAAAATAAGATTAAAATTTTAATAATAACCATATTATATCTTTTAATAATACCAAATAAATCTATAATGTTTCGTGTTAATATATTAGTCAATTTTTTAAAGGTACAAGAAACAATAATGTCAAAATTGGATCGACGTCGAAAGGGTGTATATGGACCTTCATTGGGCAAAAAGGTATAGTTAACTAACATTAAATTTAATGTGACTTACTTAATATTAAACAAAAATGTATGCCATTATTATTTGTATTTTTCAGTGCATTGTTTTTTGTGATGATGTTGCTATGCCATCCAGAGACACCTACGGATCCCAACCACCCATTGAACTCTTACGGCAATGGTTAGATCATGGATATTGGTCAGATTTAGTAGATACGACGAAAATTGAATTAGTGGATATGGTATGATTAGTAATTAATTAAAATTTTTTTATTTCGAGTATTAATACGTGTATATTGTAAACGATACGAAGTCAAACATTCCCTAAAAAAATTTTATTTGGACTTAACCAACGCATTGATTTTGTTTGGAAAATAATTTTGATATAATTACATCAAAAATTTTTCCAAATAAGAAAAAAAATTAAAAATCAATTCAAAATTTTTATTTTTTTTTGCCGAAAATGATGCGTCTTATAACGAAAAGATACTACTTAAAAACTAAAAGGATTCGAATATAAATAAAAAGACAACAACAAAATTTTTTATTAATTTATTGAAATTTGGCTGATCATATAACAATGTCTCGAGTATTGCCACATACTCATTATCAGTGGTCTTAAAAAAAATTTGCTTTCTTTTTATTAGTTTATAGTCTGTATATAATTTGTTTGGACTGCAAGTGTCACGCATAAAATTTAAGACATTCGGATTTTTAATGATATGCTCGATCTCTAAATTTACGTATATATACAGTAAGAGCTTTGTTCAAGGAACATTTTCATTAAGGGGCACTGCTGTTAACTATGTAGTAGTATTGCTGGTATCCAATATTAATATTTCATGAAATGAAAATATTCTTTTAAATGGACACTATTCTTAACCGGATAAAATTACTGTTTCATATTACTGATCCCGCCAAAGAAAATTTGACTGTCTATCCTTATTTGCACTTATATTTGTTTTTATTGTATTCACTTATATTAGTAAATATTTTAGTACAAATTAATTTCGGAAGAATTGAAATTTGTTATATAAATATAAAAGTTTATAAAACATTCTCCTACTGGTTACCGACCTTATTCTATTGTACCTTTACAAAAACTACAGTCTATTAATTTAGATTTGGTTGTTGCTACCATAATAGCAGCTACTTTTTAATGGGGCGGAACTGGAGTCTACTAGTAAACAATAATTTTTATGTTTGAATAAAACAAATATTAAATTAAATAGTGCAAAGTAAATAGTACTGAACTAAACTGTACCCTTAAAATTGTTTGAAACTTTGACATTAAAATGTTTTGAATCAATATATATAATTACTATTAAATATTAAATGATATTTTTAAATGTCTAACATGAACGTAATTTGTTTCGTACAACCTTTTCATTAACAATTGTAACTAATAATTAAATTAAATTTTAATTAAATGAAATTTAATACAATATATATATATATATATGTAATGTAACGTATTTATTATATTAATGCTTCTAATGTTGATAAAATTTTTATTAAAAAATTTTAAATTTATTTCCTTGCAATAGACCTTTTTAGGAGCGATGGGTATGGTCGGTGGTAGCAACTTTATATTTCCACGTTTTTATCGTCATACATTCGCAATTGCGGTAGACACATTCGAAGATGCAACAATAATAAGAATATTTACAACAATAGGCAATTGGCATTTCGCCAAAGATTATCCAGATAAAGTAGCAATACTTGCCAGAGTAAGTTCATATATTAAAAATCATTGGTATTGTATGTATGTATATATATATGTATATACACGTATACCATTTTGATACTTTTTTATTCGGAAAATAACTCACATTTAAATGTATTTATTAAAACAAAATGAAGTTGACAAATTAATACAGTTTGCTTAATAACTCAATTTGTATGCACTTTATATCATTTTTATTATTTCTTTTTTATTTTATTTATCATGCATTTGTGCTTTTGTCCTTTTTTTCTAGGGATTGGCAGAAGCGATGACCAACGTTTATCGAGAGGCTATTAGAGTTTTCCTGCCAACTCCAGCAAAATCTCATTATACATTTTCACTACGTGACATCACTCGTGTCTTCCAGGGTATTGTCAAAGTGCCAGCGAAACGTTTGCCTGATGTTGAGAAGTTAGGACGATTGTGGGTTCATGAAACTTATCGTGTATTTTATGACCGGTAAGTTTATATTGGCTTTTTTACTTAATTTTATAGGCTTTGTAATTGTGCATTCACTTTTACAACTTCAACATTTAAAACAACTGAATTATTGTGTATAAAATTTTATTAACTGAAAGAAAGTATTAACTTTTTTGTGGAGTTTATTAAATATTTTAAAACTGCTTCATAAAAAACTATTAAAAAAAAATTTAAAAGACATGGTGACGTTTTCATAAAATTATTTGCATTTTAAGATACATAGTTATCCATTAAAATAACCAAAAGTGTGATCACTTGAACTATGCAAATTTAATATATTAATAAATTGTAAACGTTATTAATGAATTTTATTTATTTAATGTATTAGTTTTATACATAAAACTACAAAAATTTGATTCTGAAAGACAAATTTTCAGTCACCTTTTAAAGTAAATCTCTATTAATATTACTAATGAATGAATGAGTAAACAAATGATTTAACATAGATAGGATTGGAGTAGATTGGGTTGGAGTAAGTTGTGGGTTGGAGGTGGTTTGGAGTAGCGGCCTTGTTTCCAAAAAGCCGAGTTGAGCTCAAATAATAGCCCATTGTGGTACCACTGGAATGGCATTGATACGTACATAGAGTAAAATCAGTATACAATCAACGCCGAAAAAGGTAACGACTCCTCCATAAAGTAAAGAAAAACCAGCCTGACAGTTCTATAAACTTTTCTAGGTCCCTAGCATCGGTCAGGTCGGTGAGAAAAGCGGTTCCGAAGATTTTTAATATTCTTCTAGCTAAAAAAGGGCACTGACACATGAGATGGAGCACGGTATCCTCCTCATCTTCAGAGCCACAGCCTCGACAAAAGTCATTGTAGGGGAGACCATGTCTCATAGCATGTCTTCCTATTTCGCAGTGACCCGTCAGCACAGATACCGTGGTGTTGAGCATCTTTCGTCTTAGTTGAAGCAGCTGACTAGTTCGTTAATGATTTAACATAACTTGACGCAAAAAAAAGAATGTAGTTATATTGATAGCCAGTGCACTTTGGTATATCAGAAGATTACACGATCATTGATAGATTCTCTCCATAAATTGATTCAATCAGTAGAAATATGATCAACAGAAATTGCACTATCTTGAAAAACCAATCTAGAAACGGAAATCATCAAATTCATCTCGAATTGTAGTTATTGACATTAACTACAATGTAACTTTATTGGTATATAGGTTTTCTTAACTTTGAATGTGATGTTTTTGCTTACATACGAATGAATTGTTTCGCATATTGAAATCAGTTTTTATAACATTTTTCACAGGTATTATTCAATTTTTAGGATTCATAACTGTGCACAAATAATTAACGTCTGAAATAAATCTAGTGTGTCCTCACGCAAAATTAAGCGGGGGCCTCAAAACTAATTCAAAATTAATTTCAAAAAATCATTACATTGTGTCTAATATCATGAACACCTTCATTGCTAAAGACGATTTTATTACAAAATTTTGCATCTTTTAGTCGCTTTAAAGCTTTATATATAAAGTTTCTATGCAATAATTAGTTAATTAAATTCTTATGTTAATTAAATATTATATACCTTAAAATAAACAATATTTCATGTGATGCCTTTAAAACTTCTAAGTTTAGAAAAACGATGTCTTATTGATTCATGATTTTAAACCACACCTTAGAGGATGTTTGATATATACCACGAAAAGCAAATTTTTATAAAGAATATTTATATATTATGCAATTTATAAATAAATTTATTAGTTTCTATGGGGCATGCATATGAGGTCTTGCGAGATCAAGATCTGCCAATCAAATTTTTGTAGCCGGAAACCTTACTGTGGATTTAAGTTGGTCTTTCAACTAGGGTTTCCTAATTGATAAAGTCATGGTTTTCAGCCGGGAAAGTCGCCTACTAGCGTTACTTACAGTCCAAGTTGCTGATGTGATATTTAACTGGTCACCATTGACTGCGTTATCACCTTAACGAATGGTCTGTCCGAAGAGATAGATTGTCGACTTTCCTTAGAAGCAGAAGAGACTTATAGTCACATTCTATGTGACTGCCTAGACTTGATATGGGCCAGAAGGAGGTCACTAGGTCGAGAACTACCCTCCTCTTCTGACATTAGGAGGACCTGAACGGCCGACATTCTAACCTTCATTCGAAGGCGGAATGTCTTCTGTTCGGTTAGGGCCTGTTTAGCGTAAAAGATTGAAATATCCCAATTTTATTTTATTACAAATTGTATTTATCTAAAACTAATTTCAATTATAATGCAATAATATTATACAATAATAGAAACTGATTTATATATAAGACATGTATATAAATACTTATTAAGCCGTGTTTGTGTGACTTTCTTTGAGGCACATTGTTTCTCTTCACATCTGTAAGAGTAGGAGTTTATATCCAATATATACGTAAGAGGATTAGGATGATTTAAGAATCTTTGATTTAATGATTTTCAATAATTTTGAATGTTTGTTTGTCAGATAAGGTGGACTGTTTATTATAGTTTTTGATTTTTTAATTTTTACATTGAAATCTTTGCAAAAATTTTTCATTAAATATTACTACAAGTTTGTTGGGTGTGAAACTGTATCTTTCTTTAAAAAGTCATTTTTCATGCAAAAGTGAAAACATATGACAATTATTGGCATTACCGTAAAAAAATTTTGTTACTATAACATTTAAAATATAGATATGTGGTACTAGTTAGATCAACATATATGCATTTTTATTGAAATTTACTGAATAATTGACTAATTCTATAACTTAAAATTCTTCTTTGAAAAATTCATTCAACTATGCAACAATGCATGTTGAATATTTTGAGTATCTGTTGCAGACATGGTTCTAGTTATTTTGTAATATAAACTTACTTTTTGATTCAAACTTTAAAGAAATGGTTTGAATGGTTTGAAGAACTCAGTTTGAATGGCAAGTTATCATGAAAGTATTACTCAAAGAACTGAAATGTTTCAGATAAACGCCTTTCACTGTAAACTGAATGCTCACTTACATTTATTCAAATTATTGATTTTCAACGAAAATTTCAAAGGATCAATTTAAATATGTGTGTATTCAATTATTTTACACATCATTTCACAAAAATTTTATTACTTTGCATTGCACCACATATTGCAGTTTGCCGTTTGCAGTTTGCAGTTTGCAGTACATGCACAATATATTCCAACCAACCAATAAAAATGTACAATAACATAAATTTCCTGTAAAAGTACCACTAAACACATCCTGTTTATGCATCGGTAAGCGCACACAAAATAATTTGGTATCATAACAATTTGGTCACAAATGCTAGCATATCTCATATTTGCATACGAAATTATTTCCATTTCCTCTTTTTCCAGTTTGATTGAGCAACGAGATCGTGACCGCCTTTTGGATATAGTATTAGGTGCCTGTAAGAATTATTTGCGTTTCAATTTGGAATCCGCTTTTGCTGAACGTATGGAGGATATGTCAGCAAAATTGACGGATAACGATTTAAGAAATTTATTCTATGGTAATTACATCGAACCAGATGCAAATCCTCGCATATATGATGAAGTTGAAAACTACAATAAATTGGAGAAGCTAATGACGTACTATTTGCATGAGTATAATGACTTTTCAAGCACACCAATGGATTTAGTACTATTCCGTTTTGCTATTGAACACATATCAAGGTATTATAAAACTAAAAAAAATAACAAAATTTTTAATATAATGTCTTAAATGTCCTAGAGTGTCTCGTGTTTTGCAAATGCCGCGTGGTAATATTTTGATGGTTGGTATGGGTGGTTCTGGTAGGCGCAGTTCCTGTAGACTTGCTTCAAGCATTGCTGAGTGCAAATTAATGACTGTACAAGTCACGAAAACTTATACGCAACAAGACTGGAGAGATGACTTAAAGAAAATTTTAATGACTTCTAGTTTCAATCGAAATCATACCGTTTTTCTATTTTCGGATGCACAGGTAAATATTTCAATAATTTACTTAAATATATATATAAATTTTTTTGTGAAAAAACAGCTGCATGGATTATAATCTGTATATAGGGTTTATTACAATCTGTATATATCATGTATATAGGGTATTTTTTAAGAAATTTAGAATACGATGCAAAGATACACAAACTCAATAAACGAGATATATATTTTGAAATATAATTTTATGGCATATAAAGAAAACCGATTTCGCCAATTAGTCATTACAAAAACATCTTAAACACTTCATGTTGGAGACCCAGTTGTGCGTAAATCTTCGGAATATTTAATACTTCATTTTATGAATAACGCGCTCAATATTTTCTTCTAAAATAGGAATTTATGTTGACTTGCCCACGTTGGCCACTCGCTTCTATACTTTCCCAAACAAAGATAAACAGTATTAAATCTCACGATATTAAACGCCAAGTAACAACTACATTATTGGAAATTCAAATCTGTCGTATAATAAATCTTCAAAGTTAAACAAGTAGCACAACAGTGTTAAGAGCAAAAATCATCCAAAAAGATATTCCCGATATATTAAAAAATAAATCATTTTACATGGTACTTTTCCGTATGGCACTGATATTGGCAAATTGATTTCTTTTTTATAAAATTATTTCGTCCTAATTTTGCATTCATTACCATTAATACTTCCGCAAAAAATTTTTTTCTGGCAGTAAATCACCCGATCCATGCTAAGTAGATATGAAGGGAGCACAATAGACCCGATGGTCGCAGTTTCACATTTCCTTACAATTATAAATAAATAGTATTAAGTAGACAACAGTACATTGCTGAAGACAGAAATTCAGAGTGATTAAAAGTGAAAGCTTAACACCACTGGGATTCCTAATATAGTATTAAATTTTTGCTATATATTACTATATACTTTCCCGTGGCAATAATTTTACACCTACAGTCGGCTGCCAAAAGTGAAACTCACTCATTTTACTACTAATAATATTCCAAACAGTAATGGGATGGTGTCCTTAGTGTCTGACCACTTCACACACACCCATGTATTCCATTATACTCATGTCACAAATTACTGCAATTAAGATAAGACCACAAAATGATTGTTAACCATTACAGCCCCATACTTAACAATTCTCGCCAGATTTTATGATTTTTAAAGACAATATAGTTATCGAGCACACGTTTTAATAACGATTTATCAACCAACTTATAACACATAGCACAGTCTCGTTTAAACCAAAATTGGTCCAGAGAACATTCACTAATACAATAAAAATTAATCATTGGTCAAGTCACTGGTACAAGCAACACTTCCGATTGTCTTCTTTTTAATAATGTATGGTCTAACAATGTTCCTAGCCCATAAACACCACCAAACAGTATATTTTTTAAGGTACACCATAGCCAATGGAACGCGTTTGAATATTCTTCACTCTAATTGGTAATTTTTGTTAACATATCTGTTGAAAAACAAAGATTTACCAAAAGTGAAACTTATAGCACCATAGTGTTATGTAAAACTTTTTTACTGAAAATTTATTTGGGATGCTTATATATATAATTTGTACATCCTCCTTGAGTGATATCTCAACATAAATGTTAATAGAATTATAATGGAAGCTGATAGATTAGTTATCAAGGAGTTAAGTGCCATTTTATATAAAATAATATGTACTAAAAATAAGCACCGACGAATTATGTTTTATAAGAATTATGTTTTCTTCGCCAAAAATCACTCAATAAATAAACTGCTTAAGTTCTATTAGCACATTGATTTCGTGCCATATTAATTAATTCACTTATTTTATTAACTCATTAGTCTGAAATTAAATTATAAGCATTCAATATTATTAATGTTTATTATGAATCTGTCAATTCGTATGATAATAAATGAAGTTATCAATGAATTTTCCCAAATGGGTTGATGCTGTCGATTTTTGTTAGAAAATTCTTGACTTTTCTGACCTAATTTGGGCAAATTTGCTATAAGGAATATGATATGAATGAATATTAGTAATACTATTAACATAACACACAAGTAAATTTAATTAAACACCTACTTTGGACTACCACAAAATAACAAGAGAATCAAGTCCTACATGTGTAAGTTCCCTTCACGAACAAATTTTCATTGTTTACTTAAGGAAGTCATAATTAAGTTTCTTTCATTGGCATTTACTACAGTTACTATACAACATTATGATTGCAAATATCAGATATGCACGTATATACAACCTAATAAACTTAATAATCTATTCACATACGTATATTTTAAGCGTACATTTAAAGAGCGTACCCTTACAATACTAATATTATTAAATTTATTGACAATAACGAATTTAAGGCTCCAATTTAATTTATGGAACAATATAAATTAATTTTACACTGCATTTCATATGCAAATAAATTAAGCAAAGGAAATAATTTATAACTTTTGAGAACTTATTGTAAATAAACATGTAGACAAGATGTTAACAAGATATTTCAATCGAGTTACATATAATGCATCATGCATATGCATAAGAATATGACCAGGCTACAGATATACGTACAAAGAGGAGCGATGATTGTGCTTCCATTTAAAAGCAATTTAGCAATTAACAAATAAATTTTATGCAAATATTAAAAATTATAATGAATTTGTCCTTTCCGGAGTGTAGCTCAAGTCTACAGTTAACTTTAGCTTTGCCTTCAGCAGTCAATAATAATAATTAATTTTATCAGTGAACTAACTTATAGAATTTCTTTGATTATACATCCTGCCCAAATAATATTACACTGTTGCACATAACACCTGTGTATTACAGACTAGATGTGAATTCAAGTACAAAGATATGTTACTGTGTCGTTTGTTTGATATCTGGAAGGGGACAAATGTACTTATTATGGATTAGTATTCTACGATGTTCATGCACAAGTGACCGATATGCATATTAGCATCATACAAGTAAGCCATCTAAGGCTTGTATTTGCGCACATATACATCATTTCATACATCATTTCAGTTTTAATTTGATTTTAATTAATTTTACTCACTAAATTTTGCAAATGTTCCATTTAATGTTTATTGTATTAGTACACAGGCAACACCTACTATATGAGCTGGTTAAGAAAACCATTTCCATTTATTGCAGTTAAACATCATACACAGATGCAATTCTTAGTTCTAAAGGCTCTCATTATCAGGACTTCTTAATAATTAATTCAAATTCCAATATATGGAAACTTCTCAATATTATTGATATACGTATGAATTGAATACATTACTGCGATATATAAAATAATAATTAAATTATTGAACTGACGGATGTTGTAGCACATAAATCCTAACTTTGGACATAATAAATTGATACCTGTGACATGCAATTAGATTTATGTTATTTTTAATATTGGTAATGCATCCTTTGATGCAGTCTTATACAATGATACTATCATCCAATATGTGCATATTTGTTACATTGATCCATTGATACGATTATATAGAATAGAATATATAGAATAGTTTTGGCGAAGATGTCAAGACGATAATGTTATTCACACACAAATAAAGTTGTCAGGTTGTGTAGTTCAAAATTTTTATCAATATTTAATTTATTTATAATAATTTAAATGAAAAGATATAAAGAAATATAAATTAATTAATTATTTTATCTAAATATTAAATAATATCTCCATGGGCTATACTTTGCAAAAAATTAAAGCAACTTATGGAAATGATAATTTATAAATTACTTCTTTTGTTTTCAGTAGTATACATTGACTTATTTATTTTAAATAATTTATTAAAATATAAACATTACATCAAGAGAGAAAAAAAGATAGAAGCTAACTACCTGAATATTAACTGGTTAAAGTTTAGAAGTCTGCACTTCAAATGATAAATACTGCATTAATTCCTGTTGACTTTTATTTTCAATCTTTTATAGTTTTATATGTACTAAAACCTAAACGTTTCTAATTATTAAACTAATACAAATCCATACATAAGAGGTCTGTCAATTAATGAAAAATCCGTCATACACTTTTGTACAAGTGCGAGAATTTGTTATTTGAAACTTTTTAAAAACATGTATAGATCTCTAAACCTCGAAGATAATACCTTTATAATGTAAAATGTCGAAATGAATAAACCAAATTATTATCTTTTTTGTCACTCTCCTCCATAAGCTTAAGACACTACAGTTAAATAAATCATTTAATGAAAGCAAATTGATACCATGGCAAGCGAAAGACCATGTAATGGCAAGCGACAACATCGCCCGCTGACAGCGGACGATGCTGTATAATGGGCCTTAAAATCATGGTTTCAAGGCCAGTATATCGTTAAATAACAATACCCAAGCACAGTGATGGCTAATCACTAGATTTTAGCACCGTGAAATATATTATATATGTAAAATTATACTTAACTCTACTATTTTCTGTATTGATGGCTAAACCAAGTACTTATCCACAAAATGTAGATAAATAAATAAATAAATAAATAAACATAAAAAAAAACTCAATAAAAAATAATTCAATAAAAATAATAAATAATTAATATATAATTAAATAATTAAATATTACTGATTTCACCGTTTCTTAAGTGGTTTTCAATAATTTTAAGCCATATT